ATTAGTTAGATCCCTATGACATCTAAAACAAATTTTGACGAATTTTCCCAACCACTAATTGGTGTTATCTCGCATTAGGCCGAAATTTATCGTGGATTATTATTAAATATTTAGCTGCTCAGGATAAACGATAACCTCTTTGCTCACCTATATTTGTATTTGTGATTCTTTATTATAAAACCGTTTTAGTTTTAGATATAATTAGTATGTAAAACGTTTTTTATTATTAATTATTAATTAGTGTAAGAAGTTATATCATTGTTTTTTTTGTAATATGTAATTTCGAGTAATTTGTATTTTGTCCTAAAATACTTTTAGTTTTCGTGCTTCTGTGCTGTCTACATTCACTCTTTAATTTGGTTACAAGTTCTTGCCATGTAAATTATTAGTATAAATATTATTTATATAAAGTATTAGTTTTAAATTCCGGGTGTTGAACATGCCATAAAGTATTTTTTGCGTATTCCATAAATAATTATTTTTATATGGGCACATTTTATTCCATAAATCTTAACTAAAATGGAAATTTATTTTTTATCTAATAAGTAATCTCGAAAGTAATCTATTTAATGGCATCTACCACCTATATGTTTTAATCTAACTTTTTATTAAATTTTCCAAAAAATTTCTGCAAAAAGAAATAATATAATATGTAACTTAAATATCACTCATAGTCGTTGACTAAAATATATTTAAATTAAACTACCCCGGTTTAGGCGAAGCTGGCATTATAAGCGTGCCTCTCAATGTCATTCGACTGCCGGCGTACAACTTTGTTAAAATAAGACAAAACTTTCTGCATACATTTGCATCTACAACTAAACTTTTCTGCTGAATTGGCCTGATTGACCATCCCGCATTCTTGTTCTCGTTTCTGAAATATTCCATAACTAGGTAGTTTATCTTGGCTCTTTTCCATGAGACGGAAATTATTAATCGAATTTGGCAAATTAGAAAAGAGAAAAACAATTATTGTTAAACATATCAAAGATATCTTAAACCGATTTTACACCACTCTTCTAATCGTAGTTTCTGGGATCCAAGCGATTGTCATCGAAGTTGTCACCTTCTTGTGTAGCCACTGAAACTTGTAAAAATCAAGACATTTTTTGTCTTATAAAGAAAGTCACTGAGCTTTGAATCCATAGAAACCAATTTCAGTGGCTCTTCAGTCGTACATAAATTTGGCCAATCTTTATAAACACTGTACCAATAAGGGCAGCATGTTCTGCCTACGATATAATCAAATGCTTGATTCTTGTAAGGATTCGAAAAATTATGTCAAAAACAAGATATTCCTTCGGAAGCTTTGAATGAAAAGACTAAGGAAGGAACATATTATTACAGAATCCGGGGGTCCTTAATTTAAAACACACGATAAAATAATATATAGTAATATAATAATAGTAAACTAATTTATTCTACAACTAAGCAATCATCATCATCATCGTCATTCTCAGCTTATTCAACCATTTCCAATTGTGGTTTAGCCTCCCTCACATCTCTTTGTAAGTGGGCCCATTGTTGTCTATTGTTGGCTATTGACTATGGAGGCCCATGTTACTCCAGCTAATTCCCTAATATCATGGCCCTATCTCAGGTTTGGTCTTCCTCTAGATCTCGTAATTCCTCGTGGGTACTGTGCTGTAATTTTTGTATTCCATCTGTTGTCCGTTCTTCTTGCCAGGTGTCCGGCCCATTGCCACTTGAGGGATTTTATTCCGTGGATGACATTTATTTCCTGGGTCTTTTGTCGTTTCCACTCTATTTTTTACGGCCTTTCTTGGCCTGCAGTTTCTTTATAATGTCCGTTTTAAATGCCCAGGTTTTGTATGCATAGGTCATGACTGGTAATACTCATTGGTCGATTGTTTTCTTCTTTAGATAAAGTGGCATTCTAGATTTGAATATGAGGTTGAGTTTCTTCCATAATTCTTTGGTTGATTTCTGGTATAGTAGAGATCTCGAGCTGTGTATTAGTTGTCCCAAATATATGTATTCTTCTACTATTTCCATTTTTGTGTTATTTATTAGAATGTCTTTTCTGACTACTAGTTTGTTGTACATTATCTTAGTTTTTGCTAAATTCATTTTGAGACCTACTTTATTGCTGGCTGTATTTAGTTCGTTAATTTGTGTTTGTAGTTCTTCAGGATCATATCATCAGGGAATCTTAGATGGTTAAGATATTCTCCATCTATTTTTAATCCTTTGCTGGTCCAGTCTAGTTGACGAAAGATTTCTTCTAGTGTTGCTGTAAACAGTTTTGAGGATATGGCGTCTCCCTCTCGTACCTCTTTGCCAGTTGTCTCTGACGTATACTCGTATATCATTACTTTTGCTTTGGATGGGGCGATTTGTATTGTGGCGTTTTTTTAAAACATTACCACTGCGAACGGCAGCTTTTCATCGGAGAGCAGTCGTGGGTAAGGTATTTCACTAGAGAGAAAACTAATCAATAACAATAAACAAAAAAATACAGATATTGGGCGCCAGGCATGTACAGAGAAAGAAAACACAGTTGTATATTACTTAAAACTAATGACTATATTTATTCAAGATGGACTGTGATGGTAAATAGCCACTGTACAATTTTAATAATTATTATAGTGGTTATATGTCAACGAAAGTGGTGTTAAGAGTTGTACTAAATATCTATGAAAATAATACCATTACAAGACGTAATGTAATGAAACCTAAGATCTAAATCATATTTTAAATATTAAATCGACATGAATGTTCTTAACAATTTAACCACTAAACATAGTCTGTACGATATTACTTAAGATGTACATTATTGTTTAAGACTGAAAATGTTTTAAATGTTAAATGTAAGCTAAAACTCTTAAATCTAAACTTAGCTGTTCTTTATGTAATCTTACTTCAAACAGTAACAGCGTGAGGTGGGCTCATATCTCTGTACTGTGTGTCGGCGATCCTGTTGGCCAAAACAACAAAAGGGGCCAGAATGAGGACACCATGAATCAATACAGCCGTAGCTACTGACTAGGCTTAGAAATGGGTGCAAAGCAGCATGGGGCTTACGCTGTATCCATACTGTGGCAATATGGGGACACTACCCGTACCTTGGAACACTACTAGGACCTTGGATAATGTCCGTAACTTGGACCATAACCTTGGACACAGTCCGTCCATAAGATAACGGTACAGGGGAACACTACCCGTACCTTGGATACTACTAGGACCTTGGATAATGCCCGTACCTTGTAAATAGTCCGTACCTTGGAATCAATACATAGTTGGACACAGTCCGTCCATAAGACCCTAAAAATACGAAACTCTTGTTTAAAAAACCAAACAAGGTCTAATAAACAAAATAAACCTACCTCGAAACACTTCCGAGGGCTCAATAATAAACAAAAGAACTGTCCTTTCTTCCATTTAACATTCTGGAGGACAACAGCAAAAGTACACCAACGTGTCAGCAAAATACAAATACAAGTTAGGTTGGGACATCCAAAACTCTACCCTAAAAATACGCAGTAATAATAACGAATCAAAAAAGATATCTCATTTTTACCTGTAACTTCGAAATAGCAGCTGATTCAAGTTATACAGCAAGCTTTTTATAATTGCAGTTTCTCGAAGCAAGGATTTTTTGATGGTGACAGTAGGACGGTCAAAGCCAAGTGAAGTTAAGCACAGAAAGAGTTGACAGAAGCGATGTTGACAGCACCTCCACAGAGCGATAACAGGGTTGTGTCAAACGATAACAGGGTTGTGGACTAGAGAACGTAAAAATTACGCCAAGCGTCAAATAAATTATCCGGCCTGAACGATAGGGAATCCGGTGATGATACGCCAGACATCATATATCATAATCAAAGACATGTAACGAACTAAAAACGTTACAGTATATATTGGCGAGAGTTTGGCTGGCTTCAATTATTGCCTTAGTAGATATCGAGTCGAAAGCCTTCTCAAGGTCTATAAAGGCACATATTTTACTGCGTTCATTTTGTTGGTTAAAATGAAATCAATTTCATTCCTAGTTATAGTATTTCCGAAGTCAATTGGAACTTATGAGACTAATTCCTTTGCCCCCATGATGCCGATAAAGGCGCCGGCAGAGAAACTGCCGAAATTAAGAGTCCTCGTCTGTTTCAACTGACTTCAGATAAACTATACCCCATTAGGAGCTTGACATGTCCATTTTCTATTTGTGTTCTTCTTAAAGTATGTATTGGCTATGAACAGGTTCTAATGATATGCGTATTGTACAAGTTTCCAAATTTCAAAGATTCCCTGTTGTTGTTCTTGTTCTCGTCATAAAATTTGTATTTTAAACGTGTAAAAAATGTGATGTAGAGTATACTCAATAATTTGTTAGCTGTGTTTTACTCAAAGAAGTTTCTGAAGGCTTACGACCAAGAAAAATCAACGATCTTGCATTTAAGTAAGAACATTTTTCGGATTGTCACGGGGTTTTTAATAGGACACTGTCTCCTCAATGAACACCTCGGTAGATTGAAACTAAGAAGAAACAGCGAATGCAGATTTTGGGGGGGAAATGGAGAAACACGACTGATATTGGAGATACAGTACGACTGATATTGGAGATGGAGAACTACCCTCTGTAAAACCGTCCCAGACACTGGCTTATGTCAATAATGTCAAACCAGGGCTTTGACATTATTGACTGTATGATGATTTATAACTCAACAAAGGGGGACACACACAATAGATCCCTAAAGTCGCAGTAATTAACCCCCCTCCCACTCATTCTAAATTCTAAATTCTAGATTTTTTTGCGTTCTCAATAAACCTTATTAGTAATTAAAATTGTTAAAAAATATATTTGTAATAGAAATAGATAACTTATAATAATTATTTAATTCTGGTAAAAAATACCAGATACGCTACTGACCTGAACACCTAAGTCAATTGATGTAATAATTGTTTTTGAAATCTATAAAAACTACTTAATTATCTTAATATTTGACAAAAATAATAATTTATATTCTCTTGTTTTTTTTCAGTTACTTTTAGAGCATTTAGAATGTTTAGTTTCCCGGCACGAGAGATCGCTGCGCATGACGGTTGTAAAGAGACAAGCTGCTGCGCAGTCTGGTGTTTCGAGCGAAGTAGAAGTGCTCAAAGCGTTAAAAAGCTTGTTCGAACATCACAAAGCTTTAGACGAAAAGGTATGTTATACATTTTACTATTTATTATTACTTTTATTATTTTTTTATAAATATACCTGGTGCGTCTCAGGAGTTACCGCGATAACTTTTTTATTTTTTTAGATAAAAAAAACGAGATTGTGTATGTTAGTAAATGACATAAATTAGAATTGATTAACGTATTCAATTGTTTTCTGTCACTTCCTGTTTCACCGAAAATGACTACAACTTTTGATTTTTAAAGGGCACCCTCGGTATTTTTTTACTTTGTTCCATAGAAAATGACACTCTGAATGTAATGACATATCATATGTCAACTTTTGACATTTTTGCTTAAAACAAAATTGAATTTTAAATGTCAATCTAGAGTGGAAAATAGATTTGATCTTTTCTAATGTTTTTAGTGTCTTGTCCTGGCCGGTTAAAAAATGCCCAAATCGCATTTTTAATCATATCTCAATTTTTTCAAATGGAACGAGGGTGGCTCATTAGCAAATTTGGAAAAAGTTTTTTTTACGAATAATATAGTATCACACACTTGGTATTTCGGGTCAGATTATCGTTATGAATCGCATGTTGCCATTTCAAATAAACCATATTCGAAAATGTCAAAAGTTTACATAAGATATGCCATTTTAGTCAGAGTGTCATTTTCTATCGAATAAAATAACAAAATACCGAGGGTTTCATTTAAAAATCAAAAGTTGTAGTCATTTCCTGTGAAACAGGGAGTGACAGAAAACAATTGAATACTTCAATCAATTCTAATTGATGTCATATACTAATATACCAAAATCTCGATTTTTTATCTGAAAATATAAAAAGTTATAGGGGTGAGCCATTTTTGAGACGCACCCGGTATATAAATTATAAATAATATTTTATTTTAATGATTTATATATAATATATTTGATGTTATCGCCGATGTTTATTTCAAATCTTATATATATTTTTTTGTTTAGTTTGACCGCGTATTATAAAATATCAAACTAGAAAGAAGTGTCAACTACGCGATAAATCGTGGAAAAATGATACATTTTCATGTATATTAGTTCATACGATGATAGTTCATGTGAACTCGAGTTTAGGGTTTTTTTGTTTAAGTGTTTAAGTTTTTTATTGAGGTATAATTTTTCTTGTAGCATGAGATTATAAGATGATTAAAAGCAAAGTTTCGATCAATTTCAATCAAGAGAAGATAAAAAGTAATGATTAAAAAGTCAAGACCCAATTTTAATCAAATACCGAATTTCTGAACTAATTTGAATGCTAAGAAGTCGTTGAAACACGCAACACCTATTAAAATTTTGAAAAGTCTGAACTCACTCTAAACCGAATATGAACAACCGGGCTTTAAAAGTTAATTTTTGGCTGAATTTAATAATAGATAGCTTTTTAAATTTTATAGTTAAATGTTTTACACCTAAATGATATAAGTACATATATTTTTTGTAATTATTCATAGTCCAGTTATAAAAAGAAACTTATGTGTCTTTATAGTCTTATACATATCTATTATTATACAAGTTTTAAATTACAAAAATGCATTTCGGGCACCACTAACTTTATATTCTATATCGTGGTATTGTAAACAGCACAATAAATTGCATTTAACATTAAACTCATTTGACTAACAACTGAAGGTATGTTGACAGTTGCCTGGTTTTTGCATTGTTGTGTATTCAGTTTTAATTTAAAAATAGATACGGATTTTCTTAAATTAGTAAAAAACGGCTTGTCATAAACAGCTTCTACCAACGCCGCGCTGCTGCACCACCCGGTATAATTAGGTGCTAATAATACTTATTTAAAAAAATACAATTTAAGTTGATATCTTCTATAAACCAAAAAAAAAATCACAAATCCACCAAATATACAAACATATTTTAAACTCAGGACACACGTTTTGCTAATCATTTTAGTATCGTCTGCTAATGGTTTAATCAGTTCAATCACTTAATTTTATCTCCCAATCACGTTAACACGGTTAGCGAAACGTGCGTTTAGAATTTAAAAATGTAGGTTTATGTTTTATGTCGATTTGTGCAATGTTCGAGTTTTTTCGTATTATGAATATATATTTTTCCACCTTCTGAAGGCGTAATTTTTATTCGATCAAACTTTATAATAGGTAATTATTGTTGTCATATAATAATCTATTTTATGATTTTATTTATTAAAACTCTTTGGCGTAGGTGTAATTTTTGTTTTAGTTCTCTTATTTCGATATGTTTTAGGTTCGTGAAAGACTGAGGGTAGCTTTAGAGAGAAATTCGTCTTTAGAAGAAGAATTAGCATCTACCAAAGAAGAGGTAAGCTGCAAATTACATAAAAAAATTTGTTTGTCTCACTCAACATTCTACATTACTAAATGATATAATGTATTAAACTATACAGGGTTTCCTAACATTCCATGGACATGAACTACTATGTATTTTTGGAATCAGAATAAGTGCATTGAAAACAATTTACCTCTTACAAAAGTGATTTCTTTATCCGTTAGAGAGCATCAAACTTAAACATCAAAATAAACACATTTTTAAGATATTTTAAGAATCGTTATTACGATTTGAATGAAATTTAGGGTCCTACGTTTTGCTAAGCCCTTTATTATTTGACTTTCACAAAAATAAAGAAAAACTACGGGAAGGGTGAAAATTACGCGCACACTTTTTGAGAAAAAAAAAGTTTTAAGACGCTGACTTACAGCGCTTTCAGATGAAGCGGACCGTCCGCGACTTTGAACAAGTGTCATGAGTTTATATGAACAACATCCGAACGGAGCATACGCGACCCATGTGGAATTGTTCATATAAACTCATGGTACTTGCTCGAAGTCGCGGACGGTCCGCTCCATCTGAACGCGCTGTTACAAAAGATATTTCTTATCACATGAAACTATGTAGGCGCATACCAGTTTGTTGGCGAAAATATGGAATGTTATGTTTTTAGTATCACAAATGATATTTATTTGACAATAAGCTTCATAAATTTTAAATTAATTGACGTTCGGATTTATTTTTAATTGGTGCCCTCTAACGGAAAACGATGTATTTTTGTACAGAGGTAAATTATGTGAAGCTTGTATATAGTTTACTAGCGTGTACCAGCGACTTCGTTCGCGTCGAATGAATCATTTGTAATGGTGATGATAAAGCAAAGCAAGAATTTCCATTAACATACAAACTGGATAAAATTTTCTCACATTTACGTCAGCATGAGAAAAAACAATATGGCGATATTATTATATAACTTGGTAATATTTGAGGGGTAGTTTCATCTCGTTGGAATTTGACTTCGTCTTCGAAAAATTCGTTTGCCAAAAATAAGCTTTTTACGTCAAGCAGTTTAAGCAGAATCGTGGTTAAGAAATTACCCAACTTTTTGGAACACCTTGTATGGTTTTTTAAAAATTTTCCAAATATGTAAAAAAACCAAATAAATGATGCTTGTCCAAGCGTTTTCCCGAACGACTAACCGTTTTTTAAATAACAAATATTGTAATATTTGAGGGGTGGTTTCACCCTCTTGGAACTGGAATTTCGAAAAATCCCTTCTTATCGAACCTCTACACCCTAGAATCAACCTGTATGCCAAAATTGAGCTTCTTACGTTGAGTGGTTTGAGCAAGATCGTGATTAATCAGTATGTCAGTCACTTAAAGATTTTATATATTAGTATAGATTTTGATTATTAATTCTTAATGTTCACAAAATATCGAAACTGTTTTAGAAAAAAATACATTTTTTTCTCAATGTGGCGTTTTTACAAGAGACAAAAAATGTAGTAAATACAAGAAAAATTATATTATTTTGCAACAAAAAAATCAGTCGTCGGTGCAGTTGGAAGATATTTTTACTAAAATTTATGTAGTGGTGGGGGCACTTTTCACCCTTACATTTTTCTGTCGACATTTTTTTGAAGTTTAGTCCCCTCTAACGGATAAACCTAATAGATATATAAACTAACGGATATTTTGATTCCAAAAATACGTAGTTGTTATGCGAGGGGTGTCTCACTACTGGAATTACATGTACATTTTCTTGGCAGTCGCTGGCAGTCATTGGCAGTCTTACGGCAGTCACCTATAATAATTACATGGCAGTCATAGGCAGTCTTCTTGGCTGTGATTGGCAGTCGCTTGGTGGAAAGATGATATTTTGGCAGTACATGTACATTTTTTATCCAAGTGAGACACCCCTCGTTGTTATGTCTACAGAATATTGAGAAACTCTGTATAATAACTTTCCATTTTAAGATAACAGATGACAATATTCTTATATGTTCTTTACGGCTTATGCAAAAATATACAAATACCATTATAAAGGAACTATTAGATCTGTTTTAATCTATTTTTATATTTTTGGAAAACTCACTCGTACAATGACATCTACGTGTGTACATGGTTTATAAATATGTAGATGAATTGGATAACCCATCCCATTTTAATGAACTCAAAAAATATGCAAGAGCTTTATTTGCATTTTAAACCCTCACATAGCAAGTCGTATATATATTTATACATTCTAGATTATAAATGAGAAATTATTTTAAAAGCAGTTTATTTTTATATTTTATTTCGCCCTTTTATGTCCAAGTTTGAACTGAAACTATTACAACTTATTTTTGAATTTATTAAAATTAATTTATATACTAAACATGTCAAATATTTATTTTTTCTTCATTATGTGTATGTAGGTACATACATATAACATTTTTTTAGTTGTTTCTTGGGTGTTGTGGCTATGGTTAAATTAACACAATAATTTTTCGACGTTTCACATTTGTACTGTACATGCTTTGAACGTACTATGCTTCTTCAGGATTTTTTTTTGGTCTTTCCTATGTCTTGGAGTAGTGTTTATTACCGTTTCTTTGCTGAGAATACATACATACATATATAACATAATGAAATATGAACTATTAATAAAATTTTTATAAAAATAAATAATTGGTTATAACAGTTAAATATAAAATTTGAAAATGTCAATAATCCATATGAACATTTATTATTTTGTTTTAATTTTAGTTGCAAAATATTAAACAGGGATTACCACAAACCAATGTACCTGCTATAGAAGATAAACCAAAGGAAAATGGACAATTGGAAACTGGGGACCAACTTAACAACAGTCACAACAAGGTACAGGTGGTAATCATTGATACTATCTTTTAAAGCCCTCAATTATATTATTTCGATGGATTTGTTGTTGAACTCATTAATTTTTTTACTTCTGGCATGTATCTGTCAAAAATGCTTTTCCTTTTCTACTTTAAAAACACCTTTATTGTGTGACACGAAATATTTTAATATTTATGTGTTATATTCTTTGATGGCAGATAAGAATAATTCTTAAACTAGAATTTGTTCAATTGTGATAATTTAAAGCTAACTTAATTATAAAACTCTTCTGTAGATCGGACATCAATAGTAAATATTAGCTGCTTATCCCTTAAAACTTATTACTTATTATTTTAATCAATAAATCAGTTATCTTTGATGGTTTTAATTATAAGTATAGTTAATTTTTATAGAGTATAGTTAGGAATGAATAAATATTATATCAGATGAGCAATATGTTGAATCGCTAATAATATACAAAAGCATCGAATAAGGGGAGATATTAATCTATTTGAAGTCCTGTTGATGAAATAGTTTATTTGTTTTTTAATAGTTATCATACGATTACGATAGACATCTGTACGGGCTAAAAGTTTACGCTCTAAATATATACCGATTAATGCGGGGCACTTACAAATTTCCTATAGGGCGAATTGGGAACAAAATAACATAAAGCTGCGATTAGTCTTAATTGATAGTTTTAAGGGTCGTGTTGAACATACTAAAAGTCCCCATGCCTCCCATAAGGGGAACATTGTCAAAATGGCCATCTTGGATTTTTGGAATTTTTTCCTAAATTTGCTATTTATTCAAAAACTTTTAATTTTTAAAGTAAATATGTTGGAAGATAAATGGAAGACCAATAAAATTTCTATAATTAAGGGTACCTTCGAGGTTCCTAGGTAGCACCGTTACCAAGATAAGGTACGTAGAAGGAGCACCAACATAAAATTTTTTGGCGAATTTTCGTTTTTAACCTGAAATAAGTAAATATTTTGCTGTTTATAAAAAGGCTAGTGACAAGATCGATGGATGAAAAATTTTTGGTCAGTACTTTGGGCAGTACCGCAAGTATACTGTCGGGTGGCTTACATATTATTTCTGAGCAGTCGATTAGACAGTAGACAGCTGGGAAGTTTCTACTTAGGCAATACTTGTGCAGGACTTTGATGGTACTTAAGGCAGACTAGGACCGGAATTTGTGTACTAGGTTGTGCTTGGGTAGTACTGCAAGTAGTGTCGTCGAGCGGTGTACTTTTACTAGTTATATTGTGTCGTGCAAATTTTTATTTATTAGCACGCCGTGTCTCTAATGAAGCATGCAAAATATTCCATTTTCGGAAAATCTTCCCGAAATGTACTACACATAAGTACCATCTAAAAGACGCCGGCTCTTAAAAAATCTTAAAATCCATTCTCTTTATTCACGCTGCAGGTGGTTGCGACACAGTTAGTGGTTTATACAGTATCGGAAAAATTAAAGTTCTTCAACTTCTAGAGAAGAATCCAGAGCTAAGAAATACTGTTTCTATATTTTACCATGCAAATGCGGCTAAGGCTGATGTCCTGAAAGCTGGCGAGCGCTTTTTAGTATCTCTTTACCGAGAAACTTCAATAACTTCACTAGATGAATTAAGATTTAAAAAATACAATGCTATAACCGCTAGACAAAATCTTAACACAAACTTCAATTTGGCTGCTCTTCCTCCCACCACAGATGCCGCAAAATTCCATATCTTTAGAATTTATAACCAAATACAAGAATGGTTAGGCTACTCTCCTGATCCTTTAGAGTGGGGATGGAAGGATGCAAATAATGAGCTTTATCCCATTTTAATGGAGCAAGAAGTAGCTCCTGAATTTATTTTAAAGATGATTTTTTGTAACTGCAAAACCTCATGCACAAAGCACTGCAGCTGTAAAAAATCTAGCATTGTTTGCTCAAATTTATGCGGATTTTGCCAAGGAAACTCTTGCGATAATAACCCCGAATTAAATCCGATGAATGATATCGAGGCTGAGGAAGAATTAAATAAATGTAGATACCTTAGTTTTTAGTTATATTTTTTGTGTGTATAGCGACAAAATAAACGTGTTAACTGGTGTTCTTCAGAAGTACCTAGTCTTGACGTTTTCTTTCCTCGACTATTTCAAAATCGGGATAGATTCGCTGTTCCTATATACGAGTGTATGATCAAAAATTAATATGATGAAATACTAATTAGCTTCGAATTTTTTATTAGTTTCCATGCAAAATCGAGAGATCAACAACTGTAGGCAGTAGTTATTTTGGGCAGTACTAGGCAGCACTGCAAATATTGTTAGGCGGTTTAGATATTTTTGACCAATTATAAGTTGTGAACACTATTTACTCTTCGGAGTAATAATATACATTAGATCATAAGGATATTGTGTACTCGCTAGTTGTTGGGTAATACTTGGTCAGTGCTAGATAGTACTGCAGGTACTATCGGACGATGTATAGATTTTTGACTAAATGTTTACCTCTCGAGCAAAACTGAAAATTATTCAAGTTATTTTAGTTTAAAGTTTTTAAAATTTGTAGTAAACCGATATGTCAGTGGTACTTCAAGACATATATCTTGATAAGGGTAGTACTTAGGAAAGTATCTCTATTTATAGTATTTTTATCGGTATTAAACTTCCCTCTTCATAATTTTTCTAAAAATAAGTAGTTTTTGAGTAAACACCAGATTAAGAAAAAAATGTCAAAAATCCAAGATGGCGGCGTCATTTTGACAGTGTTCCCCTAGTGGGAGATATGGGGACTTTGAGTATATTTAATCGGACTATAAAAGCTATCAATTAAGACTAGTCCCAGCTTTATATTATTTTGTTCCCAATAAAATCATAAGTGCCCCGAACTACGATCTGGTCATCCAAACTGCGTGATCTGGATTTTAACGTATAAGACAGTTTTTCTGACAGCTTAAATGAAAAATAAAATGTATTAAAAAGAGATAAAAGTTAGGTTGTAAATTTTGCATCAAAATTTCAAACCGCACAAGTAGGTGTTTACGAAAAATGTTGCATCTAGTTGGAACATTATTTTTCACAATAAGTTACTCCTTTTACTACAGCTGTAATAGATTACTAGTTAAACAACTGTCTAACAGAAATGAGCATTATTAAATAGCTTAGATATATTTTCGTTTATTATTGTATTCCTCGTACGAACCGGCAACACTGTATGCCGCTTTATATTTTGCCTCTCTGTCTGTCAACTGGTTGTATATATTTATCTCTGTCGTTTTTATTAAGGTACGGACCACACGGAAATAAAGTGATCGCGTAGTCCAAACGTATAATGACGAATATGCGTCTATAAAGCTACTCCTCTGTAAACAGTGGACCTACCATAACGCAAAATATGTCCTATATCCTGTTATTAAAACAAAAAATAAATCGGCACACTTGATAATACGGAATGGAAAACTAAATCGTGTTCATATTTGTAGTATTTGTATTACACTGCATACTCTTACAAAGATAAACAAAATTAGTTCAGTCAATTCTAAATATTTATTTAAAATAACTGTTCTGGCAAATCCGATTTTAGATCCCGATCGGACCTGGTTCGCACAGGTCTCTATCATACAATCGAAAAAAATCAACGTCAGAGTTGGCTTGGAAATTATCGATCTTTATTTTTGGGCGCATCTAGAGGTTGAATCTGGGAGGGGTAGTGGTATTATTTAAGTAAAGTACTAGATTTAATTTTTTCCTGAACGGTATTGTGGCTTTAAAAAAATTGGATTGCTCTGGATTTTCTCTTTCGCTTGGTGTTATTAATTTCTTTTGTGACAATTTTATTTTATAACACATTTTAACTTATTTATAAATTTCTTGGGAGAATTTATTACCCCTCATTACCCCTCCCGTATATGCGCCACTGGATATTTTCCAGCCAACTTGATATATTGATATATTCACTTCAAATAAATAAGGGTAAACTATTTCTGAGTTCAGAAGTATTTTTTAACCTAAATAAGTATAGTTTGTTATACTAAATTACTTTTTACAATATGTCGGAACTCGATCCGTCAAAGCAATTATTTCTTTTTAATACGACTAATTTTACTAAGGAAAAACAAAATCGGGTTTAATTAAAATTATTTTGTATATTGAATATGTATACAAGAAATATACAGGGTTGTTCACCACATACGACACGGAGTATTGTAGCTAAACAATTAGATTTTTACAAATTGTAAGTTTTGGGTTCGTTGAAGGACTATTGGAGCTACAATTTAAAAATAATTTTACAAGACAGAGTGTCCCAAATAAGTAAAAAATATTATAGTTGTATTTTTTTAAATGGAACACCCTGTATATTATTCAATTTTTAGATTCCACGATTGAAATAGAGATAAATTTGATTAAGGTTTATCATACTTAAATCTTACCGTTTTTGAAAGATTTTTAATTTTGTGAAATTGCAGTAAAAAATTTAAGGCTTTATTTCTCCAAGGGTATCAAAGTTTTTAATACTAAATATTGACCGAAGATTACTTATTGATCAGATATTGTGTTGCAATAATAAAAATTATACTACCTTATACAGAGTGTCCAAAAATGTATTTTAAATAATTACTAGCTTTAAACAGCAATAACTTGTTTAATTTAAATGGAACACCCTGCATATTTTACGTGAATCAGGTGCACAATTTAATTATCTATCAAATTGTGTTATACAATTTTTTACCTATCTCTTTAAATTTTCGTACAAAATGCATTTTCTTATAATTTAGACTTCATTTATCACTATATCTATGAAATATTGACATATTAGATTTTTTTAAAGATGTAACAAATTTTCAAAGAGTACAGATACTAATATTGTCGATATAGTTCGCTTATTTCATTAAAAAATTAAAAAAGTTTAAATATTTTTGTTAAAGGAGACCAATTAATATGATCCCAGTATGCAAACTTCATTAATTGACTGTTTACGTTTATTAATAATAATCGCTCCAAATACTAAAAAACTGAATTTTGTATGTGTATTAGACAGTGTGGTAAAGAGTAACACCTTATAAATGTTATTTCATTTTTTGACGAATTCTTATTTATAACAACAGGGACGTTCATTTTCATAACTTATTATATTGATTTCTGAGTCAAATCTACATCTATTTAGAACAATTTTCTTAATTAAAACAATTAAGTATGTAATAATTAACTAATTTTTGGATGGAAATAATGGTGGTATATTTAATTGGTATAGTCTTTTACAAATAGATATTTAAATAGCTTTCTTTTTGTAAAGAAATGGGCTTGCAATATTATTATTTTTACCACCTGTACATTTTTTACATTATGTTGCTTTAAAAAAAATCTAAAATGGCAATATTCCATGGGTATATGGTGATAAATGAAGTCTAAATTATAAGAAAATGCAGTTTCTACGAAAACTTAAAGAGATAGGTAAAAAATTGTATAATACAATTTGATAGACAATTAAATGATGCATCTGATTCATGCAAAATATACAGGGTGTTTCATTTAAATTAAACAAGTTATTGCTGTTTAAAGCTAGTAATTATTTAATATGAATTTTTCGAGACTCTGTATAAGGTAGTATAATTTTTATTATTGCAACACAATATCTGATCAATAAGTAATCTTCGGTAAATATTTAGTATTAAAAACTTTGATACCCTTGGAGAAATGAAGCCTTAATTTTTTTACTGCAATTTCACAAAATTGAAAATATTTCAAAAACGGTAAGGTTTAAGTGTGATCAACCTTAATCAAATTTACCTTTATTTCAATCGTAGAATCTAAAAATAGAACAATATACAGGGTGTTCCATTTAAAAAAATACAACTATAATATTTTATATTTAATTGGGACACTCTGTATGTTATAAAATTATTTTTAAATTGTAGCTCTAATAGTCCTTCAACGAATCCAAAACTTACAAGTTGTAAAAATCTAATCGTTTAGCTACAATACTCCCTGTCGTATGTGGTGAACAACCCCCTTTATATTATTAATAATATATTTTTAATGTACTTCTAAAATAGAATAAAAATATAGTAATATTATACAATATTATAAAATATTCCAATATAATTTTAATTACCTTAAACAATTTACAGTTCTATACTTATATTATCTATAGTTCTATAATTTAAGGGCTTATTGTAATAACATGATATGCCACAAATCCATAATTCTGAATTATTAGACTTCTTTAATTGCAAAATGCGGAAAAGTAATGTGAGCCGAACTATATACAATTTTCTATGCTCTAGGAAGACCGAAAAAAAAACTTCAAACAAATACGGCCTAGTATATTATTTATTAATAATAAATAAAATATAATAAATTTGTACTACACATTACACAAATTTGACAACATACGCTTTTTTCATAAGTCGACTAAACAATGCATGTCTATTAACACAGAAATTTTCGATGTTGTCATGTTTGTGTACTGCATGATATTGTGACGTATAGGCACTATCAGGGAAACCACGACTGACTAATGGAGGTGTTGAAGGAGAATCTGCGGAAAGCGCTGCGAGAATAGCGGATCTACAACAAGCTTTAGAACAACAAGTAAGTCTTTACCTTGCAACAGTTTTCAGTGGACGATCACTCAACGAAATACTATGATATTATCTAATAGAAATATCTAAACTTATTATATTCTCTAACCCAGTATGAGTTATCATAAATGCAAAACCTCCAGCAAGGAGAAGGGGACTCAAACCTCAAACCTCACAATATTTTCAAATTTTTTATTTAAAAAATATTTTTGTTAAATGGGCCAACATGTTTCAGGAAAAAATACTTCCCATCATCAGACTCAAAAGCTAAAATAATCGTAATATCACAGTCAAACTAGGTAAATATTTTTGAGAGAAGTCATACAAAACAATGTTAAGTGATAAATAAAAAATCGGTAAAAAAACTTCTTATGTGCACTGAAAACTAGAAAATAATAATAACAATTAGGTATTTTGAACTTCTAGTTCAGAAATATTTTAGTACTAGGCAGAATAGCTTTTAGGCATATGAGACTAAAATAAAAACGTGGGGCCCATTAACTATTGCTGTAATACTTTCTTCTATACTAAGTGTGGATTGCATCGACTTACTATAATCGTAACTGGAGATTTTGACAATCAATAACCAGCCGTGGTGGCTTCACCAGCGAACGCCGAGCTCATGATCTACCAAAGTATAAAGATATGCTTTGCCATAGGAAGGATTTCAGAGGGGCCCCACGTTTTTATTTTAATCTAATATGCCTAAAAGCTATTCTGCCTAGTACTAAAATATTTCTAAACTAGAACCATTAGTTAGTTAGTTCGGGGCACTTATGATTTTATTGGGAACAAAATAACATAAAGCTGGGACTAGTCTTAATTGATAGCTTTTATAGTCCGATTAAACATACTAAAAGTCCCCATATCTCCCACTAGGGAAACACTGTCAAAATGACAATGTTTTGACCAAATGACTCCGCCATCTTGGATTTTTGACATTTTTTTCAAAATACCTAATAGTTATTATTATTTTCTAGTTTTCAGTGCATATAAGATAAAACCGTTTAACTTAAAAGTTTTTTTACCGATTTTTTATTTTCTAGTTTTTAGTATTTAACGGAAATGCCTACCGAATATTCCTCATTCTATTTAATTCATTTAGTGCATCATTATTACATGGTTTTTTACCTGATAATTTATTACAATCTAATTCCTCAATACATAGCCCTTCCAGAGACTTGACTCGACTTAGAGCCACGTATGCTTGCCCTTCCTCAAACAATTTTGAGCCCCAATACACTACTGCATGGTCGACTGTGCTGCCCTGCATTTTATGGACGACCCCCCCAGAGGTCCAGTAGAGGGGCAAGGCTATAATATACAACAAGAGGCGCCCAATCTTGAGGGGAAAACGCTTGCGACATTACATTTTTAGCCACCCTAATGCCATACAGTCCTCAGCACGTTTTAACCTATTACCTTAACTTGGGTGGTAAAGCTACCGCTAACTACGTAGGTACATCTAATCACCTATTTTTTTTATCTGTCGTTCTAACGTCACACAATCTTGGACACAACTGTTCTGGATATGACTACTCATGCCCTCACCTAATACGCCATTTTGTAACGACGTCCATCTTGGATTTTAAATTTTGTCATAATCACAGTATTCTACTAGTGTAGCCCTTTCATTTGATACCCATATTGAGGGGGTTGTGGAAAAATATGAAATCTGCCATTTTGTACCGGTGGCCATCTTAGATTTACAATGTTATTGATATTACTATATTGTATTGTCATCGGAACTAAAGGTGTGTACCAAATTTCAGGTCAATCTGACAACAAGAAGGTACTTAAATTTCAATTTCTAATTTTGACCCAAACAAATAAATAAATACCGTACGGGTCAAGCTAAATAAAACCGTTTAAATACAGTCACAAACAAAAAGTTAAAAATTATTACAATTATTTCATCACAGATATGCTATGATACGCCAAGTTGAGTATAAAAATTACTAAGGCCCGTATTTATAGTCGCGTCTCGAGACGCCAAGACGGTCTTGGGCTCTTGAGAGCGCAATCCTCAGAATACACGAGCAAACGTCATTTTGGAGATTGCGATTTTCATTTTGGAGATTGTCATTTTGGATAGTTTATGTGATCTGTGGATAGTTTCTTAGCCTAACTTTTTTAATAAACAAAGTAAATCCGTTTTGTCTGATTAAACAGTTTTGAATATGTTAGAAGAGTTTGAGGATATTTTGGACCATGTGGAAGTCTTTGAGTTCCAAAAAGATATATACGGGATGCAGGAAATCCAATAGAAATGTTTAGCGAGGGGGGATTTATGCCGATAGAGGTTTAACAAGGCTACAATTACAGAAACTATTTTACCTCTTATAAATTGAAGATTTGCAAAAACCTACCAATCGTGGTTTACCCATTCTCCCCGTTATTCAATTACTAATTTGTTTACAGTTTTATGCGACTTGTAATTTTCAGATGGTAAATGGAGATTTGTGTGGTGTTAGCCAACCTACAATAAGCCAGATAATCAAGAATAATGCAATAATGTGGAAGTATTTCAAAATCGCAAAAGTTTTTTTAGTCTAAATGTTCATGTCCCAAAAGGGAAATTATCGATATTATAGTTGGATATCCAGGGTCAAGTCATGATAGTGTTATATTCGATGGAAGTAATTAAGAATGCTAATGGAAAGGCGTGATATTCCTGATTTACTTCTTGGAGACGATGCATATAGATGTAGGCCATTTCTATTGACTCCTGTTCTACAGCTAGGTAATCAACAAGAAACCAGGTATAACTTTGCCCATAGAAGAACGCGAAATGTGAAAGGCTATTTGGGACTTGGAAAAAAAATCTTCCATGTCTCCGAGGTTTACAAAACAACTGTTGCTATTATTTGTGCAACAGCTGTTCTTCATATTGGTTTAAGGGAAAATTTAGATAATTTTGAAGATGCTAATTTACACATTCCAATTATAAATAAAAAGGAAGAGGGTTAGATTTTTGAAGAAATCTTATTCAACATTTTGCAAATTAATGTATTTATTGTATTAACATATGTATATCTACTAATTATGTAATATGTTAAGTGATGTTCCAAGGTAACTAGTACCTATATAATAAATTTTATTTACTTTTCTATTAGTGGTTAAATTAGTGTTTATATATTTACATGTAACATATTTTAAGTAATTTCTTATAGACTATTAGTTATCTTAAAAATACTGTTTTTCTATACTTAAATAATATATGATTTCTTAGTCGTTTTACGCTCACTATGACCAGACAGCTAAGTGCTTCTTTTAACTGGTCACACAGAATTTTCCCACTAATACATTAAAACTAAAAAAATTGTCTATTTTCTTCATCATGAATATTTTTAATATCATATCACATAATATATAGGATTATACTGTATACCTATAATTTTCAATATTTTATTGCTTGGTGTAAATTCTGTATTCTTATTGAGTTGACCACTCTATATAAAGTCGATACTCCATGTTTTATAGTTTTACTTCGAATAATATTTCACAATACACATTCTATGATTATTGCGTTTTTACTACTTCCTTATTTCTTGTTTTCTAGATGACATTCTTCTCTCTTCTTTTTTTTCTAGTCTGCTACGTAAATTAGTGTCTGACAATTCGTACCTTTACTTATAAATTTAATTTATTCTCTGACACTTGTCCAACCAGACTATGTCTTAGTCTCCAAGACTTAATTAACACAACTAACTTAAAAATTACCAACAATAAAAAAAAATATTCATTCTAAATTTATGATATTTAAAGATTTTAAAAATTTATGGAACTATACAAAACTAAATAAACCAAAAGTAGTATTCATTAAATATTAAACATATTTTTCTAAATACTTCGGTTTATGTGTTTTTCTGTGTCATGGGGTAGAACTTGTGTCACTGTAAATGGTCCTTTATATTTAGTAGCACTTTTCATATAGTCCATGTCTCTATGTTTATCATAAATTTTTTTATACCTGCTTTGTTCCATTTCTATATGTTCTTTGACCTCTTCTCTCAATTTTTCAGGTAATCGAATACTTTTCATTCTATACTGTCAATAACCTCACTTGTCCATCTTAAAATAAATCTTCAATCCTCGAAATATATCCATATAATAATTCAGAAGGTGTTTTTTTCGCCAGTGGATTTATTCACAGATGTATTTATAGCTCTTTCTATATTCTTAATATATGTATCCCATTTGTTGTCATCATCTGCACAAGCCTTTGAATAAGAAGACTAAGGAAGGAGCATATCAAAAATCTTAGGTACACCGCGATGGGCCTCAAATATGGCCGATTTAAATTCCGGTTTACCAGTGCCGTTCTAATTTTATTTAAAAAATATAAAACTATGATGTAGGGTAGACGTGGGGTAGATTCAATAATTTGTTATTTTATTTTACGTTGTGAATCAATGTTGGTAGTTATTAAAATTGTTATAAAAATATATAATTCTAATAAAAATAGATAAGTTATCTTCTTCTTCTTAGCACGCCGTCTCCCTTCGGAGGTTGGCGATCCAATTGGCAATTGTGACTCGGGAGATGGCATCCCTGAAAATTTGGACTGATGTTCGATCAAGCTATCGACGCAGGTCTTTAAGCCAGGAGTTCTGTCTTCTTCCGACTGACCTCTTTCCTTCGATTTTCCCTTCAATTATAAGACGTAGCATTTCGTATTATCTCCTCTCATGATATGCCCAATATATTGGATTTTTCTTTCCTTGATAGTTGTAAGGAGTTCTTTGCCCTTCTGCATAGCTCTGAGTACTTCAGTGTTGGTTTTTCTATCCACCCAGGATATTCGTAGTATTCTCCTGTACAAATACATCTCAAAAGCCTCGATGCGGGCTTCTATGAGCGGACTGAGAGTCCAGCTCTCACAGCCATAGAGGATAATTGGGAATATATAACATCGAAGCATTCGCAGTCGGAGTTGTAGGTCGAGGTCCCGCCTAATGAAAAGTTTCCTCATACTGAAAAAAGCACTCCTAGCTTGTTCAATCCGTGACAGGATCTCCTTTTTCGGATCACACCCTTCATTTACAAGTGCACCCAGATATCTAAAGGATGACACTTGTTCAATCGTGTTATTGTTTATTTGAAGAGTGGCTTGTATTGGTGATTTTGAGTAAACCATAAGTTTCGTCTTTGCACTGTTCATAAGCAACCCATAACGTGCGCTATGTTCCACGACACTGTCCAATAACTGTTGGAGTTCAGGTAAGCTGCTAGCAATGATGACAGTATCGTCGGCATATCTGATGTTATTAATTATGGTTCCATTGATTTTGACTCCACCGTGCATATCTTTAAGGGCTTCCGTGAAGATCACCTCCGAATATAAATTGAAGAGCAGGGGTGATAATATGCAACCCGGTCGGACGCCTTTCCCTATAACCATTTCTTCCGACAGGCGGTCCTCCACCCTTACTTGGGCCGTTTGATGCCAGTAGAGCTCGGTTACAATTCTCAGATATCCCTCGTCCACACCCGTGGCTCTAAGCATCTCAGCCATTTTCTGGTGTTGCACGCAGTCAAAAGCCTTACGGAAGTCTATGAAGCAGGCATATATATTTATGTTCATGTCGCGTGCCCTCTGTGTAAGTATGTTAAGCGAAAACAGTGCTTCACGGGTCCCCACGCCATTCCTGAAGCCAAACTGGGTGTGATCTATCTGCTGTTCGCATTTCCTATATATACGCGTGTGTATGATTCGTAGAAAGATCTTTAGCACATGAGACATTAAGCTTATCATTCGATAGTCGCCACACCGGGATGCGTGGGCCTTCTTAGGCAGGGTAACAAAAGTTGACTTGAGCCAATCTGATGGTATTTTACCGGAACTGTATATGTCGTTATAGATAAGTTATAATAAGTATTTATTAACACAAACATCCGATACGCTACTGAAGCAGGTAAGTCAAATTAACGTATCAAAATTCTTTGACATCTGATCTTTGACAAGTAGTAAATAAAAGCTAAAATGCAAGAAAAATATATAATTTAGTTAATTTAAGTGAATTTCATAAATGATCGGTTTACTACACCTATGTATATTATATAGTCACTTACTAGCGAAAAGTTGTTACCCATTATTTCACTCAATTTTTGCCGAGATCTACCGCACGCCACACAACCAACTATTTTAGAGTCTTTTTCGATAAATCGCGATAGTGTTACTGTTTATTTAAGTTCTGTCACAATTTCCATCTAGATTTACTACTTTTATACAACTATCAGTAGTAGAATAAATAATAAATAACATAAAATAAGCTCCGTAAAGACTGACAAATCCACAAAATTTCAAATCAAATTCAAATGTGTCAAATGAATCGTCAAACAGAACTGTCATGGATCCCCACCCTTGAGTGCTTTTTCCGCCCACCATGCATGAATACATGGATAGCATTATGCTCCTTCCTTAGTCTTCTTATTCAAAGGCACAAGCTAAAGCCAGTATCATTGGAATAATAATGCTGTTCAACCATTTATGGTTGTATCACACAAGTTCACCCAAATGTTCTGCTATTAAAATGGACACCCTCTTGATAATCTGGCTTATTGTAGGTTGGCTAATACCAAGGAAGTCTCCATTTAATATCTGAAAACTACAAGTCGCATAAAACCGTAAACAAATTAGTAATTGAATAACGGGGAGAATGGGTAAACCACGATTGGTAGGTTTTTGCAAGTCTTCAATTTATAAGAGGTAAAATACCTAGTTTCTGGAACATTTCTATTGGATTTCCTGCATCCCATATCTTTTTGGAACTCGAAGACGATTTTCTTCTTCCACATGGCCCAAAATATCCTCAAACTCTTCTAACATATTCAAAACTGTTTAATCAGACAAAACGGATATTTAAGGGATTTACTTTGTTTACTAAAAAGTTAGGTTAAGAAACTGTCCACAGATCACAGAAACTATCCAAAATGAAAATCGCAATCTCCAAAATGACGTTTGCTCGTGTATTCTGTGGATTGCGCTCTCAAGAGCCCAAGACCGTCTTGGCGTCTCGAGACGCGACTATAAATACGGGCCTAAAAGTTTATTTGGTATGAACTGTAGGTAAATATTTTTGAGAGAAGTCATACAAAACAACGTTAAGTGATAAAATATAGAAAAACAAACAGAAGTTTGTATTTCTCAAAAATCGAATATGAACATGGAATTTCCCCCGTCTGAGATTTTTTGAGATATTATTTTTAGATTTCTTAAGTCACGTGATTAAGCTTGACCGGCATTGCCCACTTTTATTATATATTCTCTTTTAATCAAAATATTTTAGGAAACAAAAATAAATTAATTATAAATATACCCCGCTGGCAAGCGAACCTTTGGGTCGGCGTTTACGTGTATAGGAGTGAGTCGTTAGGGCAATCTAGTAAGTCGGAGTAAACAAAAATACGAAGTAATTATTACATAACTACTTAATCTAACGCTAGATTCCATGCGTTTGGGAAAATACTCGCTTTTTGTCTTTATTCGGCACATCTTATTTTACTAAGTCAACAGTTGGCCGTACTCTTCATACACATGAAAACCGGCACCCAAGACCAGAAATGCCGACCCTTTGTATAAACAGTTATTATTTACATCAACAAACGTAATATCACATTCTAATAAAATATTTTTACGATGTACGTGTTCTACGATTATTTTAGCTTTTGAGCCTGATGATGGGAAGTAACTTTTCCCGAAACATGTTGGCCCATTTAACAAAAATTATTTTTTGAAATAAATAATTTAAAAGTGATTGTGAGGTTTGAGTCCCTTTCCCCTCGCTATAGGTTTTTTTTTCTCGTGAGTAAAAATGCAGAAACTGACGCAATATCAAAATATTTTTAAAAGTTTAATACTGATATTTAGTTGTCATTAGTTGAACGTTATATCTGGATAGAACCAGGATTTTTATTTTACGCTAGCAAAATTTCGTTGTAATATTTTTGGATTATAATCTGGTAAAACTCATTCGTTTTTTTAATTAAGCTAAAGGGCTTTACGCGAAAAGTACATTTCATTTATTTTAAGGAAATAATAAAGGAATTCCGTAGAGAGAGAGATATATATATATTTCTAGCAGATCTCCTCTATTAACTTTTATAATCAAACTGTGGCAATTTTGTGAAACTTGTGAAAACACAACGCTAAATATGAGTTGTTATTATATTTGTATATATTTTTTTTTAAAAGGGTATAAATATTTTAATTTATTTTTAATGAGTTATATGCAATTCAAAAAGTCATTGTTTAATGATAATTATTAAATGCTTTCAAAGAAATTCAATTGGCTTATTAGGTTACTGTATGATTGAAAAAAAACGGCGTCCAGTTGGCTTGGAAATGAACATCGATGACATTTCCCATATAAAATGACAGCGAGTTTCATTTCATAGCCATCGCTCTCGCCTTTATTTTCGATCATATTGTATAATAGCTGTTTTCAAGAGTACTACTGAGTTTGTTGTGATAGGAAAATAGATTGGTAAGCTAATAATGTTCATAAAACAGTATTTTATGTCTATTGTGCTTTCGCTGGTTTCTTTTATTTTACTTTTCATAATAGGAACTAAATCAAAATTCTATATTTTAGACCAATGAAATAAGCACGTGGCAGCGACGAGTGGCGGAGATGCAGAGTCGCGTGGGTGAACTAGAGGAAAATTTGTCCAAAGCACAAAAAGATCTTCTTAAATCTCAGGATGTTAATTCGAAACTTCAAAGGGATTTGAGAGAAAACGTTGCACAAAAGGAAGATCAGGAAGAGCGAATCGCTACTTTGGAGAAGAGATATTTGAATGCTCAGAGGGAAAGCACGTCATTACATGATTTGAATGAAAAGTTGGAACAAGAGTTGCAGCATAAAGAAGCTCAAATTAAGGTAAATATTGTTTTGGTACATTTTAAATAATGATTTAGTATTTTAATGTGATCATACATCAGTAAGCATTAATTTAAAAGTGTATTTAATAAGTGTAAGCATTAATTTTAAAGTGTATTTAAGAATTCCCCAATTTTACATCACATATCACGTCACTTAATTTTGAATATATTGTTTTATATTTATATATTTACTATAAAAAAATATTATGTTATATATTTAATTTCTCAGAATTAATTCTGCTCAAAAAATCTTTTTTATAGCTTTGTCGAGTCTTAGTTGAAGGTCGATTCAATATTTATTTTTTTATTATTTAGTGCAACATTTTTGTTATTAAACAGAAAACCAATATATTTGCCAATTTTTGCACAAAGTGGTCCAATTATAGCGGAAGCCTTCTGTAACTCTAATAAAAATTATTAAGGAGAACATATTTGTATGTAAATCGACCAAGGGTCATATCGGTCATAATTACACGTGTGATCGAAAAAAATAACGGCGTCAAAGACAGCTGGGGAATGACAATCGATGATAATTTTGCCGATGTGGATCATTTACTAAAAATTGACATAAAACTTGTCAAAGATTAATACTAATTATAGAAAGATTAAAAAAGAATACAACGTTTTCAGACACAAATCTATTTCCAAAAAAATATTTTTTCTCAATTTTAAACCACCATTTAAAAATCATTTTAACTCAATATAAAAAAAAATACAAACTTCATAAGACCTACTGGCAGTATAAGCGCCATTAAGAAATAAAGAAGAGTATGGTAAGTAAATGACGTCTAGGGCTTGACCTTGCTAAAATTATCAACAATTATCATTCCCCAGTCTATTCGGTTCCCCAGTCTATACGATTTTTTACCAATGTTGATATAATTAAATATGCTTTAATTTTTAGTTGCACGAAGAAAAGATTTCTGCCATCCAAGAAAAGCTTGAATTAGCTGAACAAAAACTTGCTCAATATTCCAAACTTCCAGAAATGGAGGAGCAGTTGAAGCAGCGCATGGAAGCGCTAACCCAGGTGAGACCCCAGGTACGAGGCTCTCAGCTCACTTTTATTCTTCTTCTACTTCTTTGAATGTTATTGTCTACTAGAACACTATGTTACTTTGTATTTTGGAGGTTTATAAAGATCTGCCCTTTCGACATAATATACTATTATATTTTTAAATACAAAAATACTTTTATTACATCATGTAATTTAATTATTATTTGATTACGAATAAATATTATATTTAGTTAAATAATTACGTTGTTGAAAAGGGTGTATATCTTTATGCTACTTCAAGAATTATATGTACTAGAATTTAGTCACCAATAGATATCTTTAAAGGAGTATAAATGTGTTAGCTCAATCCAATATTCTTTTCCTGAAACTTGAAACTAGAATTCTTTAGATTAATAAAATAATGTATTGTTGGATGCTTTTTGAAAGATGCTTTCCCTTGGTAGAAGTGTTCCATTTTCATGTAGGTAGATACTTCTTTAGATCAAAGAAAAGTAGAAATTATATCATAATAATTAACTTAGCAGAATTGAAATGATATAAAAGTATAAATATATTAAAAATTATTAATTACAGTGTTACAGCAAAGCTTGCAGTATCCAGAATCAGTATCCAGTTTTATAAATAATTTAGAACTATTCTCAGTAAAAATTAAATAGAAATAACCGAGTCAATAAATTAAAAATACATTTTTTAAATGGAATAACTTAATTATTGTATAATGAATATTGCAAAAGAAAATGTAAGTTTATCATAATATAGATATCATCTCAATAATATAATTTTGTGTGGCAACGTTAAAAGGTACTATTAAATATAATATATATTTACTTGATTATGAATAACAAGGCTAAGATATATATACCGGGTGCATCTCAAAAGTGGCTCACCCCTATAACTTTTTTATTTTTCTTTCAGATAAAAAACAGATCAGATTTGGTATGTTAGTATATGACATAAATTAGGATTGATTGACGTATTCAGTTCTTTTTAGCCACTTTCTGTTTCACCGGAAATGACTAAAACTTTTGATTTTTAAATGGCACCCTCTTTTGGCATGTTCGCATAAAACAAAATTGCATTTTAAATTTCAATCTAGAGTGCCATGGCATGTTAAAATTACGAATTTTTAATCAAGGAGATTTGGAAAAATAGATTTGATCGTCTGTTTTTAGTATCTTGTCCTGGCCAGTTAAAAGATGCTCAAATCGTATTATTATCATATCTCAATTTTTTCAAATGGAATGAGGATGCCTTATTAGCATATTTGGAAAAAGCATTTTTACGACTAATTTGATACCACACACTTGGCATTTCCAGTCAAATTGTTGTTATGAATCGCATGTTGCGATTTCAAATAAACCATATTCGAAAATGTCAAAAGTTGACATATGATATGTCATTCTATTCAGAGTGTCATTTTCTATCGAGTAAAGTAACAGAATATGAAGGGTGTCATTTAAAAATCAAAAGTTGTACTCATTTCCGCTGAAACAGGAAGTTACCGAAAACAATTGAATACGTGAATGAATTCTAATTTATATCATATACTAATATACCAAATCTCAATTTTTTATCTGAAAAAATGAAAAAGTTATAGGGGTGAGCCACTTTTGAGGCGCACCAGGTATTTATCTGTCAACATTTTGAAAAATGATTTCATAATAAATTATAAACTTGTATTTAATAAGTTCGTTTTAATGTGCATTTACACTTCTTAATGTTCAGGATTTTTTATTATGCACATAGATTTTTAAGCAAGTAAATTTAATTGTTTCTACTCCTTTTGAAATTTGGTATGTCTTGTAAACCTTCAATGTGTGAAAGTTTAAGCGTTACTCTGATATGAAATAATTTATATAATATTACTATCTATGAAGAAGCTAGTAGTATATTTGTTATCAATAGTGCTCCAATATTAAACAAGTAACAACAAGTGAGCCAAGAGCTAGAGCTCTTTTCAACTTATTTCAATATTTAATTTTTTGCTCATACAATAAACTAAATAAAAAAAATATCTTGTGCATGAGTATTAGAAAGAGTCAATCACGTGAACTATTATTGATGGAGAAGTATTAAGAAACTTGTTAATAAATTAAATAGAATTAAGTTGCTTAATACACTTAATAAATAATAATTTGATATAATAAAAGAAAAACTGAATATAAAAAGGACGAAATTGGAATAAATATATTTTTTATTATTCATCATCATTGAAAAATACGGTAATTTGGTTCAATGGTTCTTTTCTATAAGTAGCATACCTGTTGTAGTTGTATTGTTGTTTTTTGTAATTGCTTTGAATAAAAATATTAAGGAAGAAGTATATCAAAAATCTTAGATCGAACGCGAATGGTCCTAGAATGGCCGACTTAAATTCCGGTTTATCAGTGCAATTTTATTCAAAACGTGTAAAATATGATGTAGGGTAGACTCAATAATTTGTTGTTTTATTTACGTTGTCAATAAATGTTATTAAAATCGTTATAAAATATACAGGGTGATCCGAACTGTATTCCGGAAACTTCGGCAGCATATTACAGATAAAAGTAAGTGAAAAAGTTCGTATAAATATATGTCCTAAAATGTTTAGTTTCGGAGATACAGGATGTAGAAGTTTCATTTTTATTTCGATTTTTTCCAAATAATTTCTGAAGTAACGTCAATATTTGGATGAAAATTGGTGTAGTAGTTTTTTTACATGAGACACACATTTTGATGTCAATACGACTCCTGTTTGTAGGGGGCGCCACCTACATGTGTTTTAAATGTTTTGAACAGTAATAACTTTTCGCCCGTACCTGTATAAAACTACAGCTTGAAAAAATATACATTTCCGTGACTTTCTACGTAAAAAATATCTCTTGGTAAAAGTCACTACGAGTCATGGTTACCGAGATATGTGGAATCTAAATAGTCAATACAAGTCATAATTACAAAAATTATACATATTGACTGGATAGTTATTAGTCGGAAATAATACATTTGGGAAATTTTTATTTTTTTTTAAATTAATCATAAATCTTTCTGCAAAAAAAATATGATAAAACAGTTTCTATTGAACGTTTGGCACAAAAACATTTCACATTTATCATTTCAGTCTAATAACTATTTAGTCAACATGTTGAATTTATGTCAATAATGACAGGTATTGATAATTTCGATTCCAAATATCTCGATAACCATGACTCGTAGCGATTTTTACGAAGAGACCATTTTTACGTAAAAAAACGTCGTAAATGTATATCTTTTTACTCAGTAGTTTTATAGGTAGGGGCAAAAAGTTATTACCCTTCAAACCAGTTAAAATATATGTAGGTGGCGCCCTCTACAAGTACAAATCATATTGACATCAAAATCAAATTTCTCATGCCAAAAAACTCCCAAACACCAATTTTCATCCAAATATTGATGTTACTTCAGAAATTATTTGGAAAAAATAGAAATAAAAATGAAGTTTCTACACCCTGTATCTCCGAAACTAAGCATTTTAGGACATACATTTATAAGAACTTTTTTGCTTATTTTTATCTGCAGAATATGGTACCGAAGTTTCCGGAATATAGTTCGGACCCCTGTATAATTCTAATAAACTTAGATAAGTTATAATAATTATTTATTAACACAAACACCCGGTACGCTACTGAAGCAGGTAAGTAAATTGACGTATCTAAATTCTTTGACATATAATCTTTGACAAGGAGTAAACACAAAACATCCCCCTTTAGAACTTTATCTTTAATGGCCATAAACGACTAACCAAGACCAACCGCCCGAACAAACACTAGAGGCGCCACCGGTCATCAAATTGTGTAAAAATTGCGAAAATTTAATCTTCTAATTTTTGACACAAGGGGTCGCGCTTAATTTTTTAAATTTTAATTCAGTTTTCATTGTTTTCAAACTACATTATTAGGTTTTGATGTATTTTGTGAATGTATAAAATAAATGTTTTCTTAATATAAAGTTGCATTATATTAATTTAAATTATATTGCATACATATTTAAAATTAAAATATTATGACATATATGGCAGTTGCCGTTTAAATGTCATCTTGATAACAAAAAGTTAGTTATTGTCATACAGATAGTTAAAATATTAAAATTCACAAGTTATTATTACTAATTAGACAATTCTGTTATATTTTATATTATTTCAATATACAGTGCAATTTTGATATGCAGGTTCAAAACAAAAAGTGCTGTTATATTTTTCAGTTTTCGTTGTCAACCGCGGAAGTTTCAGTGATTTTAGTGTTGTCGGACATTTTTATTTGTGAAAAAGAAATATTGCGTTTGGATTGCAAAACTTAAAGTGGCAGTTTTATTGCAATATAAGTAAGCGTTTTGTCCATTTTATATTTTACTTTTTTCATACCTACGACAAAATATACATTATATTGAAATTTTATAATTCGTTTTATTTAAAAAATGTTAGAAGACAAATCTGTAATTGACATACCTAATTGTTATGTAATATATTTCATTTAAATGTAAATTTAAAAAATGTATTAAAAATATATACAGGAATTAATTGATTTTGGTATGCGAACAAACAGGAGAGGCGCTTTTTATTTGCTTTCATTTCTTAACATGACAGATGAAGTTTTAAAGGGGGATGTTTTGTGGTAAGTAAATAAAAGCAAAAATTCAAGAAAAAAGTATATAATTAGTTAATTTTTGGTAAATTTATTATCTCATTATTTCTTCCACTATTTTTGACCGATATCTATCGCAGGCTACGCAACCAACTATTTTACAGTCTTTCTCAATAAGTCGCAATAATGTCACTGTTAATTTAAGTTCTGCCACAATTTCCTTCTAGATTTACTACCTTTAAACAACTATCAGTAAATTGTAAAAAGAAAAATCTACAAAATTTCAAATCAAATTCAAATATGTCAAATGAATCGTCAAACAGAACTGTCAAGGATCCCCACCCTAGGGCCCTCTCTCCGTCTACCATGCATGAAATAGCATTATACTCCTACCTTAATCTTTTTATCCAAAGGGTAAATGTTACAACTATAAACAAATTACTAGGTAAACATCGCTGGTGAACAAAACCGTAATAGCAACTGGCAAATTCAACAAGGTTTTTGATATTGCTCTATAGTAACTTTGTTCGGGGTTTTGTTATTACAGGGTTCTGGATCGTCCAAAAGCAGTGAATAAAAAATACACAAAATAAAAAGAAAACAGTAACTGCCATACATCAAGGCAGTTACTGTTTTACTAGATAATCATAGATATCTAAGAATTGTTAAACATTGTGTTTCTCTCTCATAAAACTTAAATATTCTGATAATAATGCCTTTTAATAGAATCGAAAATAATAAAGAATTCTTAATATTATGTAAATACAATTATCAATTTAGCAATGTCCTTTATTATAAATGTGTAGTATATCTTTGATGTTTTTATGTAGATAATAAAATTTTAACTGTATATGTAGCACTTTATGTATTTTTAATTAGACGTAATTAGATTTCCTATTTAACTTTTGATAATAATTATAGGCTCAAGAGCGTCACGGATCTGCGGAAGATAGAATTCAACGCCTAGAAGCCAATTTAGACGAGAAAAACGCGGAACTTGTGCGACTAAACCAAAGACTGAAAATGAACGAAGATCATAATTCTCGGCTGTCAGCTACTGTTGATAAGTTATTATCTGAGTCTAACGACAGGTTACAGGATCATCTAAAAGAAAGAATGCATGCTTTACAGGTAATAAGATTGTGACCCTTCAATAATAAGGGAACACTGTATTTACTCGACATTTGTATTATATTATTAGGAGAAAAATAACCTTACGCAAGAGTTAGAGAAGACTAGAAAGATGATGGAAGAGCTGGACCAGCAAAAGGCGGAAATTATGAAGGAACTTGCCAAGTCTAGATTAGAAATAGATAATGTTAAACGACAGATGTTACAGCAGGAAATCTCTTATAATATACAGCAAACTGATGCGCTTACAAGGTAAATAATCTACTCCTATCAATATTTTTTAAATAGACAATAAAACTAAAAAATAACACAATACATCAAAATATTTTAAATTTGTCATCCCTATAAATACAAAAGCCAAAGCAATAAGACTCTAAGTCTCGGTCTCAAAGACATCTAAATATAGGTAGACAGAACACTCCATTCATAAAACTCAATTTTTTAGAATCATACATGGTTTGGCACTTTTATGAGAGTTAAAAAGAGATGGGTACATAAATATGACAACACGGTTGAGTTTCGTCTGTCTTTCTGTCATTTCACTCCATCAGTGGCGTGACGGTGGTGTGGTGTTTTTTTATCAAAAATTTTAAAATAGTTATTTTGTGTATTTTAATTTAAATTTTAATTTGTAATATACGTAGTAATATCCATAATATACAGTGTAGGGGCGTTTGCACCAAGTTTTTTAAGCAAAACTTAACATTATGTTTAGCTTATTTTCGTGCACTATGCTTTAATCTAACTTGAATTTATATTTAAATTAAGCGGTCAAATTTCCAGGCTAGTGGCCACTTAACCTATCTTAGACACAAAAAAATTGTTTTACGAGGAAGAATTATTGTTATTCCTTTGAGAAAGCTAAAAAGCGTATTATGATACCTCTACGTAAGTTCGATGATTACTTTTGATATCCTAGACGTCGATCAGTAGGTATATTCATTGAAAATGGATTTCCTCAAGAGTGGATCATATTGCCAAGAAATGAACCTCCTTTAGTTTTTAGGACAGAGACTTTTAAACGACACTGTAATATATATCCTCGGTTTAATTGAACAAAATCTAGAATATCAAAATGAGAGGTAAGTTGGAATGCTAGTAAATCTAATGTAAGATAAATTAATTATATTTATACTTTGAACCATTGTTCTTTACTATTTCCAGAAACAACAGCATAACTGCCTTAAATCAACAACAATTTTATAGTATATTTGGGTTTCCTGGGATTATAGGGATAGTTGATGGAACACAATGTAAGAAAACATTCACCTGGTAAGTACCTATATATTTTCTTCAATATTTATCAGCACAAGGTTTCTTATACTTTACAGGGGGTATTGATGGAGAGGTATTTAGAAATAGAAAAGCATTATTTTCCCCAACATTTAAATTATTGGAAATGCTAGTCTTAAAACTATAGACTTGATTGCTTGTTGGCATGGGTCTGTGCATGAAGCCACCATTTTTGGACATTAAGGACCCGCTTGGAGACTGGTTACTTTTCAAATTAAATCCTGCTTGGTTAGTGGTCCGTATATTTACTTACTGTTAGATCATTTATATAAAATATATTCCTTAAATATTTGAGTAGGTATTCAATTTAGAAATATATTACGAACAAGATGAATTGAAAGAATTTTTTTTAAATTAAATGTGATAATATTCAAAGGGTTCATATACTCTATTAAATTATTTTATTATCTGTTATAAGGTGAGATTGCATATGCATTGAGGGGATAGATGCAGAAATAGAGCTGAAGAAATGTTTCAGAATTATCGTTATATGGAAACGCCACTTTCCATGTGTTTTATGGTATAAGACCAAAATTACAAAACACAATGTCAGTTATTGTTGCACAACAGTGAGTTAAGAAAAATATTATCTGTTTAATTATAGAACAAAATTTAATGTATGTACTTAAATTTTTAGATTTTGTTGTTTCAATGTGCTACACAATACAGCCAGAATGATGCCTGAACAAGAGCTGCCGCCGTTAGATGAAATAAATATGGACCAAATTAATAAGAAGAGAAATAATAAATTATTTTGAAAGATTAGGGCAATATTTTTTTTTACCTTATTCTAAACATGTTTTTATGTTGTTATTAAATCTCTTGAGTATTAATTTCTATAAAATATCATTATTAAATGTCTTTTATTCAGAAATAACATACATTACATTTTTTACATTACAATATAAACACTAATTAAAATTATTAAAAAAGTTCTCTTTGAGAACTTTACTGTTCTTTTTTTATTTCAATGTCTAACAACCCTTTTTTCTTTAGCTTACGTTCTTCTCTGTTTTGAATACTACTACTTTGAATTTTGCCCATCTCCATATTACAAAAGAACAGCCTTTTGTCTAGTAAATTAATATCTTCCCTTTTCTTCTGTTTCTTTGTAACCATCCGTTTTGTTTTGAGACTGAAAAAATATCTAAATATATTGAATTCTCTTAAAAGTAATAAAAAATTCAAAAACACAATGAAAGGTTAGTACTTACAATACCATTACTCCTATTAGTTTTAGACAATCTATCACCATCATGTTTTTTAATCCCACAATGCTCTTCTCATTTTTACATTGATTGAATATATTATTATCTTCCGTTTTTGCTTTTAAAATGTCACCCTGCATACCTATATTCATACCTGAATGGTCAATTCAGTTGATTCACTTATCAAAGATTTTTCTTTTAAGTAATCAATTAACTGATGCATTGATATTATTTTATTTTTCAATCTTCTAAGACCTATTTGTAAAGTATGTATTTTTCATTTTCTTTGTTTCCAAATTTTTACAAGACTTAAATTTCTACATAATATCATTATAATGCCTCATTAACATACTTCTTTCTGAAATTAAAATAACTTATGCACAATTTTACTTAAGATACAGGGTGGCGCCTCTTAAATGCTACCAAGGAGAAAGAGTTTGTATTGAAATTAAATTTTGGGAGTATATGTAGGTTAATTTAGAGCATTTAAACATATAAATGTGATAAAATATGTGTTTTTTTAAAATATGGAGTTCTACAGGGTGTCGCCAAAAAAGTTACACAACAAAGTTTTGTTTTTTGGAATGGGACACCTTATATATTATTTGATTTTCGGATTCTATGAGAAAAATAAAGGTGAATTTCATTATTGGACTAAAATGTAATTTTATTCCCTTTTATTTGAAATGAACACAGCAAGTTCCCTTTTATTTGAACACCCAGAATACTATTCCGATCTTTTAATTGCAGTGTGCATTCATCAATTAATAGAATGCTTAAGGTCAAATTTTAATTTGGTTAAATATACAATGAGTAAATTTCCATCTAGGTAGCTGTTATTGAAATTTAAAGTTTATTCATTATTTTCACCAAATGTGAAATATGACAAGCCTTACATTTTAGACATATGCTTCTTTAACGAAACTCACTTTTATTTCTTTCCTAGAATCCGAAAATCAATTAATATATAGGTGTTCCATTACAAAAAAAAAACTTTGATGCATAACTTTGGGGACACCGCGCAGAACTCTTGATATTTCTATAAAATGCTTTCCATTATCCTACATATGCTCCCAAAATTACATTAACGATAAAAACCACCGTTCTCTTTGGAGCCTCCGCGTCGTAGGAGAGGCACCACCTTGTATATAATGTAGAGGTAATTTTTACCTTTTTCTGATACTTTGACGACTTTCTTGAGATAATAAATATCCAACTATTGAGAGATCAGAAGATGAGGATTGTCTTACTATGCTGTAAACAAACAAAAAAACATTAATAATTAATTTTTCAATAAAACCTATTTTCGTTTTTAATTTTTTCCTAAATACTAATAATTTCCTTCTATAGTATTAAATTTATCATTAAGCGAGAATGTTTTCTAGTGCAAAACAAAAGCTCACTCATAGAAAATATATGTAAACAAAAACCAACACTATGGCAAAAATTATGTAGTTTATGATCTTATAATGTGGTTAAGATAATTAGATAAGATAATAAGATAATTCCAAATAACAGAGAACAACGGCATACGGTCGAGTCGGCCGCTCCTAGCACGTATACGTAGACGTAAAGAATCTTTTAGGTGTATAAAAAATAGAAAATATCAGAAATGCGCATGCGTACGTAAACGTTTACGTGTTTGTAGGCCGATTCGACCGTATGCCGTTGTTCTCTAATATATCCTTGACAAAACATATAAAATAAAAGATAGCTATGTTAATTATACAGGGTTTCTGGATATTCGACCGATAAAGCTTGACAATGAGAAGCAACAAGTCAAGTATTTTTATAAAAATTAAGATAGGGAAGTAAACCCATAAAGTGCTTAATTAATAAGATACAAAGTGATATTAGTAATGTTATATTACGTTATATTGTTCTATTAGATATTATAACAACTTCCTTGAAATCTATTACTGCTAATGACATAAACAAAGTGTCCCCTTTTCTGCAAGAAAGATAGAGATGTCAATTTTTAAATAATTAAGATGGCACACAAAAGCAGAAAAAATGTTATTTTGAAAAAGCTCAATGTGTCAAAGTATCCCGTCTACTATAGTTACGTCAAAATTATGATTAAGAATGTGTTTAGATTTTTTACCGCAAAAATTGTGTCTACGAAATTTCGCGTCTCTATTTTTTTAAAGATAATACCTGGATATGTCAAAATTAAACTTACTATTGTGACACCCTGTATGTTAAAAAGTAAATACTTCGCAAGAGGGTGTACACCTGTATTCAATAAGGCACAGTACACTACTTGACAATAATAGTTATAATGAGAGTATTTCATTTAAAATATATTACATACTAGTTGAAGCCTGGCGCATCCGCCACGACATCAGGAAAAAAAATACTTTTTATTTTTTTTAATTAAATGAAAAACAAAAAATCCGGCGATGACAGTTTTTAGAAGAGCCAATTAGCTATCTTTTAGTAAAAAAAGCAACTTTCTAGAGCAAGTCGTTACTTCAGTAGAGACGCCACAGATAAACATTAGCATTTTATATTATTATTATATTATTATATATATTACTTTGTTATGAATACAGCTATATTCCCATTCTGTTAAAAATACAAGAGCTTTTAAGCCTTGTCAGTCAAACATCCAGAATACACTTACAACGAGCACATACTGGTTAATTCCAACTTCTTTTTCCAATGCCGTTTCTGTTGTTTTGAGGGAAGGGCTTCTTGAGAAGGGCTAGTTTATCTTGTATGATTTTGGGCAAAATCCTGTGAATTTTAATTAATTATCAATATTAAAATACATGTATAAAATGTATCAATGTTCTTACAAATTTGAGGGGCCAGCCAAACTGCCAATCGCGGGACTAGGTAGGACCTTCTCTAGTCCCTCAGCTGGTCTGGAGGTTCATTTACCTAAAACATTTTTTGGGTGGCGGTACAAACTAGAAGAAAACCTAGAGTAAATACTAATATTAGTATAATACTTATTTATTAACTGTTAAAATGTATTTGACTGCTTTTTACCTGTATGATAAAGCCCCAGCAAAAATGGTACTATTTATTTGAGGCTCAGAATTTGGTCTTATTTGCCTTCGATCAGTTAATTCGACGATCATAATATTTCTCTTATCAAAATCATCAGAACAAATTTGGACACACGTTAGTTTGATTTTTCAAATTCAAGAGTGAAATCGATCATTGTCTAAGCTCAGTATTTATAGGAACGCTACAAAAGTACTATTGGTTACATATGCAACACATTCATATTAAGTATTATAAATCTATTTAATAATATATGTAAAATAATAAAAATATGCGGTAAAAAAAAGGAAAAATTAACCTAAAGGAAAAATTTTCCAAGGTTTATTTTCCTCTATTTAAAACACCAGATATGTACTCGTCTGTGAATTGTGTGTGTGTGGGTGTATAGGTAAGTGTGGGTAAAAGTGTAAAGGGTTCCAAAACTAAAAAAAAATATCATAAATGAAAGAGTAAAGAATTATCATAAGTAAGGCTTATCATTATCATTCAAAACAGTGCATATTTTTTAAGTACTGAAGCATCATTATAATTTTATTTATTTTATTAACTTTTTTAATTTGAATTTTGAATACCTATATCTAAACCTTACCTATTATGTAATTACTTATAGAATTTTTTATAATAAATAAATAATAGATCAATCATATGTGTTACGGTTAATATCTAAAACCTGCTAATGTTAACTAGAGTTCAATAATATTAATATTTAGATTGCAAAAACAGTTTTCTTTCAACATTGGGGGAGAAATGTGGAAATTATCTAGCCAAAGTCTGAAGTAATTATAAAAATTAAATGTCTTTAATTGAACATTAGCTAACTTTGTCATACTAATTTAGCATACATATAGGTACATAGTTAATACAGAATATAACTGAATAATTTTGATGTTCAAATCGTGTACAAATTTCAGGTATTAACTACCTATAACAGCAACAGCTGTTTTATTTCGATATTAGCCATAACATACACAATTTTTAAGATATTTATAGCGGTTTCGAATGTTAGTTGGTACTTAGATATATAATATAAAAAAGGTTTTTAAATGTTAAGTTGAGAACAGCCAATATTACCCCTGAGCATTTTTTACCACCAACTGTAACAGCGAAATGGACAAATACTTAAAATAATTGACTTAAAACGTAGATCGGTTTTGCCTGAGGTCTAACTGAGGATAAGTCTAATTTCACAATCAAAAACGCCAGCAAATAAGAAAATATACGTATTTTTGTAATAATCTACTTAAATAACTAAAAGTACTTAGATACGCTACTGTAAAGGCATTGCTAAAGGTAAAAAAATGTAATAACACTTACCGTCCAAATATCAATCAGGAGTTAGAATAGTCCACCTTTAACAAACTATGCACTGGCGAACCATTGTAGATAGTTAAAAAACTACTTTAAATAGTTTTCTTTGCAATAAACACTAATAATTATTCGAAAGTTGTCCGAAATCCACAAACACTTCCAACGGTCGCAGAAAACTCGCAACAATGCTCCGTTGGACAAAAGTTGAATGAATACGTCAAATGTCGGCGTAATTTCTACAGATTCCGACAATTCGTAGTAAAAATTAATTCGTAGCGATGCCGGATTGTCTTAGTAATTTCCCTAATATATTTTAATCGTAATTTTAATATAATTTAATTAGAAAACTAATAATAATTTCAAAGGTATAATCCTAGTATGATTAATGTATTATAATTAAAATTATATATCTACACAAATATTTAGTCTAATGACCTTGTAATGACAATAGCATTTAGAACTCAAACCGTAATCAGCCGAAATCTACCACCGGTCACTTAAAATTGGCATCGTCGATTTTTGTGCAACACGGTTCGTGATCGCGGTAAAATGTAAATTGTTTCGTCTCCTTTTATTTAGATGTCTTTGCTCGGTCTCAACATTTAATATAACAAAGTTAAATTGTTACACGTGTTTCGCTCATACGAGCATCATCAGACAAATATACAGATAAGGTCACTCCACTCACGTTTACATCTTTCATATTAAAACAACAGATGTTGTTTTGTTTTGTTTACATATTAAAACTACACTTGTTGTTTAAATGTGTAAGATGTAAACGTGTGTGGTGTGACCTTATCTGTTTGTCTGATGATGCTTGTATGAGTGAAACACGTGTAAAAATTTAACTTTGTCATATTAAATGTTGAGACCGAGACTTAGATTCTTCTCTAATTTTATTGCTTTGGCTTTTGTATTTATAAACCAGGTCTCTTTGGAATAAATGGACGCCTTTTTTAAATCCCTATAAAGAATGGCAAACCTACCTTAACTGACGTTAACTAACTTAAATAAAGGAAATATTTATATAATTATACTTTTAACTTTTTAATATTATTATACTTCCTAAAAATAAACGATACACAGGAAATTTCTTCTTTATGAGCTAACAGAATCGCACTGCAGAACTATCCGGAGTTTAACCATAGTTTTTTTATATTGCAAATAATTAATATTCATACAATTTTATGACACCCGTATTTTTTTTATTTTACTTTTTATTTTAAAAATTAATCAATATTAAGAATTTTAAATTTACACTTTTGCAATCTCTGACGTCACCTATCAAAAGTGTCACGGTTTGCCACTAGGTACAAAGGTAAATAAAAACCATTTTTCTAAATGTATTTTAAAGTAGATATAAAATTGTTGTCTTCAAACCAGGCTCTTCGACGGCTTTCATCCAAAGGAACAGTTATAAAAACTTTTTCTGGAGAACCTTCAGAGTTATTTAGACAGCCCTTCACAAAAGAAACTTTAACACCCTTCATTACAAAAATAATAAAGAGGGTACAATAAAACAAAATTGAAAACTCAAAGTATTTAACACCAAACGCAAAATCCACAAAATACAAATCTAACCTCGAACCCTCGAACGCCTCGAACATCTGAACAACTTTGGTAGTGTTTAGTGCTTCGATAAAAATGGCAGTAACCTGTTAATTATAAAAATTTAAGTTTTAATTTCTAGTAGTTAAAAATATAAAAGTATATTTAATATTGGGGTAATAAAGAAAATATCCCACATAAAAACGTATTTTTTAACGATCTTAATAAAAATAGAAAAATCTAACGTGATTTTAAGATATATGGTGTAAATACGGTAGCAGAGAACTAGACACGCCATAATATTATTCTTCAGAGGCTCTCGCCCTCTGTCAACTATTCAGTCAAATGCTGATAGGTGACGTCACAATTTTCTACGCGTCATTTCAAACCAGTGAAATTTGTATTGAATTTGATTTATTCCTTAATCTTATTCCTTAATTGTCTAATTGTAACTTCGTTGCATTTCTTTTTGTATTGAAGGAGTACTTTTTAATCACTTCAAATGAATTTGTGACGATTTTTTTGTCGTTACCCGAATAGAATGAAAAAAGAATCCGTTGCTCAGGGTTAGAGGAAAGCTGGGTTCGTAGGTAAGGCTTCTGACTCACAGTGACTTTCTAATGTTGTTAAATATTAAAATAAAAAAATGATAATATATAGGCTGCAGAGATTTTAATATTGATGTTAAGAATTCAAATAGGTATGGTCAAAGACAGTGAAAAGGGCGCCACTTACTTTGTTTATGAGAGTGGTAAAGTAAGAAACCAAAAAGAAAAATACCATATCACAACATAGCTAAAATAAAGTAATCAACAGTATTAAGGGTCTATTATGTTTATCAGGAATAAAAGTCAGAAATAACTATCCTACATTAAACATTTATTGAAAACGAACACAAGTATCATCAATTAGTCACAGTGATCCCAATAAAACCGCAAGTTATTTTAAATAGATTTGAATTTAGTAACTGTATTCTTTGAACTAAGTAGCTACTTAATAAAAACAGGTGAAATTTATGTATGTCTCAATACGATGATGTTTCGAAACATGTCGTGTACGAAAACCTTTAAAATGAATACGTGTTAATAATTTTCATATAAAATATCATAGCTAAGTAAGAGAGTACTGTACGAATCAAATTATAACTTATAACGTTAAATAAAAAATAATTTTGACTACAATATGTGGGATAAATAGTGATAATTTACCAGGTTATTAAATCTGTTGTCTCAAAAATTATAAAATAAAAGCGTACCTTGTGTATCAAACTTAAGACTTATCCGTATATATTTCTTATGATGTAAATAGGTAGGTAGGTATTCTCCAGACTAACAGAAGTGGATGCAGATGACTATGGCAGGAGAAGTCTTCGATATCAGCCAAAAGAACGATTGTAATGTCAGGAACACTGTCTTAAGGTCTGCATAGGTCCATACAAAATGCAAGTGGGTGAAACATACAATAATTACTGCATTATTACTGCATACCATGGGGTAATTACTGAGTACCATGTGGTAGTTACTGAGTACCATGTGGTAGTTACTCTATAAATAAAAAATAGTTCTCAGGACAGATACTCAATAAAGAAAACAACTTACGGTCTGAAAATCAGCTTTACATAAATATATTCAAACCATATGCCGATCCAAACCAGTAATTAAATACTCAAATAAACGAAATAAAAAACGGAAATAACTGAAATAGAATTTAATTAGATAGGGCTATATAAAATGGCGGATAAACTTACGGTGATCATTCCAAGAAGAAACCAAACAAATACGATCTATACTCTGGATTGCATACTTTACAAGGTTTTCAAATTTCCAAATCGGATACCCATGCAATGGAAATCGAAAAGTGGATTCAGAGTGCTTTTCACTGGAAAATTTGTCGGACGCCGAAACACGCGTCTTCTTCAGATCCAAATTCCCAGAAAAAGAAAAAAGTGATATCATATGATCGAAATCATTAGAACAGAAAATCGCAATCCACAGCGAAGTGAGATTTGGACAAGTGAAATGCAATTAAGGAAGTTTGGCATATAGCGAATAGATGGCGCTAATAAACAAGACAAGTGAACTGTAATAAATGAAGTTTAACATCTAGCGAATAGATGCGCTAATAAAAATTAAATATCGAGACAAGTGAGCTGTAACAAATGGAGTTTGGTATCTTTGGCATCTAGCAAATAGATGGCGCCAATACTAAGAAATTTAAATGAAAATAGATTTTTAAATTCAATTTTATTAAAGGAAATAAAAAATGCTACAAATTTTATATTAAAAATAACAAAAATTTACTATGGTTAAACACCGGATTGACAGATGGCGTGTCTCGGTTCCAGAAATATCTTCTTATATGCAGCGGTAGTACCATAGGGTTGGGTTGGGTTAGTATCATAGGGTTGCTGTGAATTTATGAATATACCGTATGATCGAAAAAAAACGGCGTCCAGTTGGCTGGGAAATGAAATGACGATCGATGACATTTCCCATATAAATTTACATATAAAATGACAGCGATCTTCATTTCATAGCCGTCGCTGACGCCGTTTTTTCTCGATCATACGGTATTAATATGCAGAATATGAGTATAGTCGGAAGTGGCAACAGATGGAAGGCTTAAACGCCATACATCAACATGAAATTTCCAGCACCGAAAAGTTTTTAAAATTTAAAAAAATAAATATTTTTTGCAATGTGTTTCTGACGTCGAAATACCAATTAAAAAAAGTTGACTTATTTCAGAGACGCTTTGTATAATTAAATTAAATTAAAAGACTATAGAGTGAATGACATCACGTTCTGTTGTTATTTTATTTTTAAATTTTAAATATTTACAAAATTAATAGTAGTAAAAATAGAGTACAGTTATATCTGTTTTATTACTTCTTTTTTTCTAATCTAAGAATTACTTTGTATTTTTACACTGAAAATCTTTAAGGAGGAAACAGTTTTGACAAGTATGCCTTGAAAATTTAGTTTAAGCAGGAAATAATTTTATATATTTTTTTAATTGAGTTTATATATAGAAATTATAAATATATATTTTTAGGTCTCTTTCTCCTAATGCAATGGATACAACAAATTTTTCACGAAGCGCTAGTCATTCCAGTTTTGATACACATTCCCTTCCCCGACGACCAAATAAAAGCAGAACCCCAATCGAAGAAGATCCAAATAAAATGTCGTTTAGCGCTAGGTCGATGGCTGAACACGAATGGGAAAAATTACAGCAAGCTCATGTTTTAGCCAATGTACAACAGGCTTTTGATGTTTCCAGCGATGCTGAGGGTGACGACAACGAGAGTCTATTCAGGTTTGTGTTTTAATAATAGGTATCACAATAACAGGTATCAACTTAAATGGAAAAATAAATAAAAATAAATTATATGGGTTCTACTGGAAGTGATATGACTCTATAATAATTACATACCAATATTTAAATACTTACAGGCTGTAAATTGGTAAATTGAAAATGATAATCTCTATCTTTAAGGAATCCAATAATTATCTTTATGCAACCATGAAAACATTTTGGGTTTGGAATATTGGTTTCAGAGTTGGAACCAGTCAGTTTTAAAAAGACTTAAATCTTAAGTCAATTTCAAAATAAAGTTTAAATGATTTAAATCTTAAGTCTTTGACTTAAATCATTTTCTTTCAAGATAAGTCATTTTCGTAAATCAATATAATGTATTTAAGTCGTTTTTATGGCGTTATTCTATATTTTTGATTTAAATACTGATCTGCGTGTTAAATCGGCAAAATGGCTTAATGACTAAAATTCAATTTAAGTACCTATTTTTTAATGTTTATATAAATTTTCTTATATTAACAATTGGGGTCCGATTTCCTTATATTACTTATACCGTATGATCGAAAAAAAATAGCGTCTAGTTGGCTTGGAAATGACAATCAATGAAATTTCCCATATAATTTTACATATAAAATGACAGCGATCTTCATTTCATAGTAATCGCTGACGCCGTTTTTATTCGATCATACGGTATTATTAATTTATTATAGATAAAGGAGACCATGAAACTAGTACCACATAAAATAAAACGGTTCATGTTCAGAATAACTACAAAAACAAAAATATGTTTTTTATATAAAATTTAACTGTTTTTCTAATACTTATCGTATCCATTACTGTTTAGATGTCATCGAATGTACAGGGTAGTCGAAATTGGTCTGTTTTAACGTATGGCGTAAACCGCCTGTTGATATTTTCACTACCAACTGAGATACGGTCTTTTTGATTTTTTGCCATTTTGAAAATTGCCCAGAACTTTTTTATTTTGCGGAATAATAAAATTCGGTAAAAACGTTCTTAAGGCACTTTTTTAAGCACAATTCAGTGTCGTCAGTTTTTTTTCTATACTTGCTCTTTTTGTCAGAAATGATAAAAAATATAATTTTTTAAATGGGAATCATAGTTGGCTATGAACTTAAAAAAATGATAGCGTTTAACCTTTTCCAACTATACAAAGTTATGTGTATTTATTTCCAAGAATGTGAGAAATATTAGTTTTTTTATCTTTGTATTGAAGCGGGCCTTGATTTTGTGTTGAACTAGTTGCCTAATTATTTTTTGTCACAATTTAATATTTTATATTATTATTTATCTGCATAATTAAAGAATTTTGAAAAGGTAAATCAACATTCTATATTAGTATTACCAATTATAATTGGTAAAAAGCATAAAACGCCAGGGTTACAACTGAACTATTAAATGGAGAATTTAGAGAGAATATCATTGGAACAAGGGACCCATATCTTAGCCTGCTGGGTCCTGTGATTTAACTCCTTTCGACTTTTTTAATGGGGGAAATTAAAAGATCTTATACAGGGTGTTTCAAAACAAATGCGAAAAACTTCAGGGGGTGATTCCTTGTTCAAAATAAAGGGTAGTTTGCTTCATAAACGTTGGGTCAAAAGTCAACCATTAGGGAGATATTGCGGTACAAAGATGGCGGAAAAATAATGTTTTTATTTTTTATCTTGAAAACGAAAATAGATAGACTAATAAAATTTTATGGAAGCATTACTGTTATGAAAACACACTTTCTGGTAATTTTTCACTTTTTTAAAATGAGTGGAAGGGGTTGAAATAAACTACCCCTATCATTCTTGTTAACGAAATTTAAAGAAAAATCTTATCAAACACATGCAAAAAATTAATTTGGATAGTTTAGTTTGTTTAGAAACTTTTTTATCTCTTGTATTTTTTTGATAAAACTCACCGATTTGAAATTAAAAAATAAAATGTAAAGCATTACATGTCAGGACAAAAAACATTTTCTGATAAAGAATCTAGTGGGCTGCTGTAATTTTTTTAGGAAAAAATCTAGTCGGCCGCTGTTACTTTTTAGGATGTTCCTAATATTATTTTATTTGACATTACTCTACTGCAATACGTTATTATCTAGATGATTATTATTATCGTTATTATCACTAGATTCTTAATCTAAAAATGTTTTTTGTCCTGACATGTAATGCTTTGCATTTTATTTTTTAATTTCCAATCGGTGAGTTTTATCAAAAAAACACAAGAGGTAAAAAAGTTTCTAAACAAACTAAACTATTCAAATTAAAGCATTTGCATGTGTTTGATAAGATTTTTCTTTAAATTTCGTTAACAAGAATGATAGGAGTAGTTTATTTCAACCCCTTCCACTCATTTTAAAAAAGTAAAAAAATTACCTGAAAGTGTGTTTTCATAACAGTAATGCTTCCATAAAATTTCATTAGTCTACCTCTTTTCGTTTTCAAGTTAAAAAATAAAAACATTATTTTTCCGCCATCTTTGTACCGCGATATCTCCCTAATGGCTGACTTTTGACCCAACGTTTATAAAGCAAACTACCCTTTATTTTGAACAAGGAATCACCCCCTAAAGTTTTTCGCATTTGTTTTGAAACACCCTGTATATAAGGGAATAACCATTGGGACGAGGGAAGAATTGCAGAAGGCTACTAGGCAAGCTTTTGGACTTATTACACCAGTTCGCCTAATAAATCTCTGTAATTCTGTGCGCAAAAGATGTTTATTGTGTATTGAACAAGGAGCTGTTTGAACATCTTTGATGCTTTTTTTGAGAAAAGTATGTTCATCACTCAAAAAATACGTTTTTTAGTTTTGTTCTTTGTTTATTGTATCGATTTCAATTGTAATTACTAATACTAATATAGAATGTTAATTTACCTTTTCAAAAGTTTTTAATGATGCATATGTGATAAATAATTATATAGAATATTAAATTGTGATAAATAATAATTAGGCAAATAGGTCAATAGGTTATAAATAATAATATAGAATATTAAATTGTGATAAATAATAATTAGGCAAATAGGTCAACACAATATCAAGACCCGCTTCGATATAAAGATAAAAAAACCCTAATATTTCTTTCATTCTTAGAAATAGATACACATAACTTTATATCGTTGGAAAGGGTTAAACGCCGTCATTTTTTTAAGTTCATAGCAAACTATGATTTCCATTTAAAAAATGATATTTTTTATTATTTCTGACGAAAAGAGCAAACAGAGAAAAAAGCTGACTACGCCACTGGATTGTACTTAAAAAAGTGCCTTAAGAACGTTTTTACAGAATTTTATTATTACGCGAAATAAAAATTTTCAAAATGGTAAAAAAATGAAAAAGACACCGTATCTCAGTTGGCAGTGAAAATATCAAGAGGCGGTTTACGCCATTAAACGTGCCTCAGAAATCCAGCCCATGACATCTATGTCGGTTTTGCTCTATCTAGTCAGGAAATAGGTTTTCTCTGTTAAAACAGACCAATTTCGGCCACCCTGTACATTAAAATGTGGTGATGTCTTGATCAATATGTAATATGTCGATGGCATAAGCTAAGGGCTGGAGGATTTTAAAGTACTCTTCCAAAGATATTAAAAATATTCTTTAATATAATCGAGATCAATTTCTTTCGTTCATCTTTCGGGCTACATAACGGAGTCGGGGATTCACTTGAATTGTCCTCCCTGGCTGCCGTCTAACAGTTTTATCAAAAAGATATATAAAAATATGTAGTAACTAAAAAGGTACTTTCTAAAAAGACTTAAATATTTTTTATGACTTAAGTCTTTTCTAAAAAGACTTAAATCTTTTTCTATTTCGGAATAGATTTAAATCACAAATCGTTTTGAAAAAGATTTTAAGTCTTAATAAGTCAGCTTTCAAAAAATGACAATTTAATTCACTTAATTTAAATAATTTAAAGTTCAACTCAATTAGTCTCCAACTAATGACTATGTAAATCCAACTTACCTCTTATAAAATGTTGTTTTGCAGTACTGCTGATATATTATCACCATCTGGACATACGGACGCTCAAACATTGGCAATGATGTTGCAAGAACAGCTGGACGCCATCAATAACGAAATTCGCTTAATCCAAGAGGAGAAACAAAATACGGAAGCGAGAGCGGAAGAACTGGAATCTCGTGTTGGTAGTATGGAGCACATGAATCTCTTAGCGCGTGGAAGAAGCTTGGAAAGGCAATCTCCCCCTGTAAGCGGTAGATCTACTCCCAAGTCGCACCATAGTCCTCAAAGGGACTATTTGCATAAGTATCACACGGTGAGCTGGATTTCTCCTACTCTCTCCCAATCTTTGTTTTTTTTCTCTGTTGTTGGTAAACTTTAATTTATTAGGGACGTTCCTATGAATGCAGTTTTTAATTTGAAGTTTTTCACTAATTGACAAAATAACATCTAATTGTATTTCTTTTACAACAATTTACACAGTTTTCTATACTTTCGACGCAATGATTATCCTGAATGAATCCTTTATAATTAATTCTGATAAATTTATAATATGATATAATCTATGTATAAAATATCGAATTATTTTTTTAGTTTCTAATAATTACTAATTTATTTAAATAACAAAGAAGTAAATAATACTGCAATTAAATATTAAGTTAATTCGTTAGAAGTATCCCTCTTGTACTTTTATTTTCATTTTTTCATTCAAGTATTTTTCGGAGTTTTATAAGATGGTACTTTTCTTTTTATCTATCATCGTTGCAATAAGTCTTAAGCTGTAGACTAACATGTTAAACATAGCTGTTGTGTATACTTAGCTATTCCAGCTATTTTTTTTGATACCATGACATTGTGAGTCTCGTTTGACCCAGTCCAACGTGATATTAAGATCAGGAAAAGGCGTTCACACGCACCGGGTCTGCACCCGGTAGTTATTTTGAATCTTTGTAGGAAGTATATACTTGTTAGACCTTAGCATATCACTATTTTAACTACAATGACGTACAAGTACATATAATTTATTTTATGCATTTTGCCGGTAATATTTCTCAGAAGTTAGTTCTGATGTCCATGTAATGATTTAAAACATGTTTTTCTTTTGTTCACGAATAAAATTGTTATTAAGGTTATTTCATAATTTATGTTTATTTTACTCGTGTGAAGGTTCTCTTAAAGTATTTATAATAATTTATATTTAACACAACTTTATATTTAAATTTAGAGCGATTCGCAGAAATGTTATAAATAGACGAATAAAAATATTGTTCCAATATGGTGTTTGCCAATTCTAAAGAAAATATCTTTGAAATATACGTCATAAACTGTTATTTAAATTTAGGCTTGTAATACCATTACAAGTTTAAGTTACGTGATTATTTAATTTTGTCAATTAGTGAAGCATGCATTTTTATATTTACAGCACTTGTATATCAAACGCTGATAAACATATGAAATTTAAACAAATTTATTTCTTTATTTGAGGGAGTATGAAATTCTGCGATGAAGACAAAACAGTATTAATTCTATTATTATTTATTATATTTTGAAATAAATGTTATATGCACTGTTTTGTCTCATTGTCATCGATGTGATGTTGTAGGCCCCAGCAAGTATGTCTCCAGCTCATTTGCAACAATATCACTCAAGTTTGAGTCCAGGCACTTTGTCTGAATCGTTACCATCTAGTCAGGTTTGTGCCGATATCATACATATTATTACCTTGGCTAAAATAAATATTTTGATCAGTCACTGCTCAAAGTTTTTAGTTATTCATATACTTAATATTTCAATTGGTTTTGTAAAAATATGATTAAACTAAACATAATATATATTAATTTTATATATTTAAATTATAAAGTCTTGATGAGGTCCTGTCATCCTTTATATTTAAAAATATATGCGGTTAAACTATGGGTTAAACCTATTACTGCTGCTTTTGTAGTCTCAATAATTTAAAACATATAAACCAATTGAAAGGGAAAATTAATGAGCAGTTACACTTTTTCAAAATTTTCTTCCGTTCGCTTGTAAAACACGTCCTTTACACTGTAAATTTTTCTACAAAACACTGACGAGATACACTGGCTGCACTTTTTTGTAAAATTAGTAACCATTTAGTTAGTAATTTGTTGCGCAAAGTTATATATGAGTCTCATAATTATTATGGAACAGTGATCTGTGATTTTTGAAAGATGTTTTTATTGATAGCAGTATAAAATAAACAAATTTTATTTAGTGTTATATAATAAAAAATATTATGCTAAATTTTTCATTAAAATTTTTAAATTTAGTTTTGTATTAATAGGATATTTATTAATTTAAAAATACTAAAATATTTTTAGTTAAAACTTTGCCCAACTGTAACGATTATTTTAAACATTTACCTTTTATTTTTAATAGAGTATAATTGTTTTGTCAAAAATCATTTGATAAGCTTATTATTTATTAACGCATGCTTCAAGAAAGTACCGTTAGCATTATGCATGGTTATGCTGTTTGTATAGGAAATGCGTATGGCGTAATTTTGGCAGTTTTGAATAATTGAATTGATATACAATTAATATCAGTTATTAAGTGCTGATACTCTTCGAAAAATAAAATTTCATAGTTGCTACTTCCTAAAAATATGTTCTAAAAAAATAAAGCTTATTTAAATAGGACAGCTAAGATGTTCTATCTCCAATGTTCTACTTCTGTGATAGTCACTAAATAGTATACAACTAATCAATATTTAGTCATAAGAACATAAGGTTTTACTGAGAGATAATGACTAATCGGATTTAAAACAAAACTAAAATTTTTATAAACTTAATATATCAGACAAGCCACATCCAAATATTCTTACTGCTCAATAGCAAATTAATGTCTGCGGTAATGGAAAGCTACAACAGTGTTACTATTTCAAAAATTTATATTTTTATCTAAATATAATCTTATTGTTACATCAAGAATATATATTTTTAATATAAAGAAGGCTCCAACCAGTCAAGGAATATTGCGTCAGATGACATCCAAAAAATAACACAAAAAGCAATTTACCCGTTGGATAAACATTATTATATATATTTCGAAATATGTATGATTCGGTTGTAAAAAATAACAAATTTTTACGATATAATACTGATGATATATCATAGACTAACACTCTGATATATCACAGACTAACTTCATACGACAACCAATGCAAATGTGAAAATTAATATTATCTTTTGGCGAATGAGCCAAATAAAATTAGGGGTAAAATTTGTTAGTATAGCAGTATGAAATTCTTAAGTGACATAATTGAGCACAAATAAGCCATTTTTGGAAATTCATCCCCTAAGTGCACAGAAGGGGTTTTAAACATAGAATAAACAACAAAAATACTGTTTTTTATAAGTACTAAATATTTCGTATGATCGGAAAAAGTGGATTAGTTGGCTTGGAAATTACGAACTATTGAAATTTACCATAATATTTTACATATGAAATAACAGCGATCTTCATTTCCACGCCAACTCTGACGCCGTTCTTTGTTTAATCATATAATATTATATTAAATTGTTTAATGATAGAAAATCCGTATTATTAACTTCTGGCAACACTGTCTCCGGCAACCATTCACTCTGTCGACTGAAAGCAGAACTACGGTACAGTATTCTTTATCCGCTGCGCTGTAAACGACTATCAGCGCGCAGCGGCGCAGAGCTAAACTAGATCTCAGAATTCTCAGACAGGCTGACGGTAACGCCAGCTACATCTCGAACAGGTTTTGTGCCACAAAATCGCCCATAAGGTTGCGCATTTTCTTATTTCTTCAATCAAAGGTTTCGGTCAGTAATACATGTGACTGGAGCATTGTGTAAGTTAAATTAATTAAATATAATGATAACATTCTTATATTTTGTCGATATTTCGATCAGTATGTGGTCTTCATCAGGGCTGCAAATTATTGTTAAACAATATTTAAAGATATTAATAAAGATATAAATAAAATATACAGGGTCCGGCAATAGTGCGTCGGGCATCTGTAGCTCCTAGAATAAAAAACTTGGGAATTTTGTTTAAGTGCAAACCTGAAGTATGTACCAGGATGAATTTCCGGAAAATATTTTAATTTCTATAGGGTGGCTCAAAAAAGTGTGAGTGGATCTGGATGATTTTTTTTAAATGGAACACCCTGTATATTATTGCATTTTTGGCTCATTTCAGATCACTTTACATAATCCTAAGATATGAGTAAATCTATTTCGATAGTTTCAGAGATATTAAAAAATTAATCAAAAATATATCTTTTTCAACCCTTCTTAAAAAAAATATATTAAATATACAAGAACTGTTCTGAAATCAAAACTATATTAGATATTTACTTTAGATGGCCTGTTCTTACTTTGCTATAAATATGGTAATCGTAAATCATACAGGATGTTCAATATTTTACGCCAAACTTTCAAAAATATAAAATAATTTTTCTTCTTTTTTTTAAATGGAACGCTTTTTATTAGATGGAGAATTAAAAAATTCATATTTTTTGTATTTAAGGTATTTCAAAATTTTAATAGTTTTCCGGATACACGCAGTATTATTTCATATGGGGCTTTCAACAGTAAAATACGAGAGAAAAAGCATCCAGTGGCTTTGATGAAAATTTACTGTGAAAAATGCCATATGAAATATAAAACCGGGAATATCTGCGAAACCGTTAAAAATTTTGAAATACTCTAAATACAAAAAATGTTCATTTTTTAATTCTCCATTTATTGAAAAAATAATATACAGGGTGTGGCATTTAAAAAAACAAAGAAAAATTATTTTATATTTTAGAAAGTTTGGCGTAGAATTTTGAACATCCTGTATGATTTACGATTTCCATATTTATAGCAAAGTAAGTACAGATCGTCTAAAGTAAACGTCTACTATAGTTTTGATTTCAGGACAGTTCTTATATTATTAATATTTTTTTAAGAAAGGCTGAAAAATATACAATTTTTATTTATTTATTAATATCTCTGAAATTATCGAAATATATTTACTCATGTCTTAGGATTATGTAAAGTGATCTGAAAGGAAGCCAAAAATGCAATAATATACAGGGTGTTCCATTTAAAAAAAATTATCACTTTTTTGAGACACCTAATAGAAGTTGAAATATTTTCTTGAAATACATCCTGGTACATACTTTAGCACTTAAACAAAATTCCCAAGTTTTTTATTCTAGGAGCTACAGATGCCCGACGCACTCTTGCCGGACCCTGTATATTATAGTATAAAACATGGTCAAAATAGTAGTAGATTTTCAATAATTACAAACAATCTGCCCTGGATCTATTTAATTTATTGTTATCAACAAAGAGCAACACACTGCAAGTAACATAGTATGTAATGTCATTAACAAGAAAAGTCATTAACAAACATTGAAAAAAAAATAGAGGAGCTGATACACTACCTTGGGGTGCCCAAACTTATGGAAAGGAAAAACTTAGATGTATATCATTTTTGGATGTGGTCTGTCGAAAATATATACAGTATGATCGAAAAAAAATAAACGGCGTCAAGTTGGCTTAGAAATGAGGATCGATTACATTCACAAACTGACGCTGTTTTTTTTAGTCCTAGTATTTTTCTACTTCTGTACATAAAATACGTTTAGAATATAATGTAAAATAATAATTTGTAACGTTTTCTACTTAAACAAGTTTTCGTCTACTTTCCATACAACCACAAAAATTGCATTGTTGAAAATATTTTATTTTCCATTGCCCAATGACCATTATAGAACATTATCTTGTTCAAAATGTTTAAACATGTCTTAATGTACTATAACCTCTATTACATATATCAGCCAAATTAGTTAAGGAAAATATCTTGTACAGTTACCAGCAACGTTTTGTTAAATAAACAATTAATCATTTTTTTTCTGTACCAAAGCAAGATGTAATATGTACGAAACATTTTAACCAAATATTTCATTTTTTAGTTACAACTGGCACCGTTAACGTCCGACATGTCTAGAGAAGAGATGCATTTAGCAGATGGTAATGGAGGAGCTGCGTCTCCTTTAACTGCTCGTTCTATAAGGTTGGAAAGAGTAGCTCAAGCACTTGCTCACAGCCAGGAAGAACTGAAGAGGTAAATAATTTTATTTTCAACTTGGTTTTATATCATTATTATTCTTGCAATTTTCATGCTCTTCATCGAAATTGGCTAGAGTAACTTTGAAATAAAACATTAACATTAATTCTCACTTGAAATATTTAAGAATCATCGATAAACATCGATAACAACTTGAAATTAATAAACTTGTAGGATAAGCCGCTTTCATTCGCAAAATTATTACTAAGATCTGTCCAACGAGTCAGAGAAAATTTCGACAGACGACGTTCAAAAAATAAGAGGAAATGTAATTTACGGGTGAATTAAAATGTCTGACTTCGTCAGGTTTCACTATCAGGTTTCATCTGACAGACTAGTAAAATTTAAAAATAATCATACAGAAAGTTTGGGCTTTTTGGTTTTACCTTATTAAGTAATTGTTATCAGGTAGTAATTGTTAATTTTGAAGTTTAATTTGATATAATGTCATTTTAACATAACGTCAACAGTTTTCTTGTAGACGTATCTGTTTTAAAAAAGTACAGTGTTCTCGAATAGTTCAATTTAAATTTTTTAAATAGTTTTTTTCTTTATTCTTTGTATATTTTTTTGCTTCCGACGACGGAAAGAGATTAACTTTCCGAAACATTAAGCATTTTTTTTTCGTTAGGCAAATTTGTTTATCTGTAAACTTAACTGCTAAAGTAGTTTCCGTTGGATTAACGCAGCAGTGTTCATAAAAAATAACTATTTTATTTTGTAGATTTTCTTGCAGTGACGTAATACCCATATAGGTTATATATCCATATATTTTTTAAACGATAGAATGCTGACAATAACAGTTGTTTGTTATTTTATTTCAAAAGTGAATTGTGTTTTCTTTGAATTTCTGAATGTTGTCAGTCGAAATCGTCCTTTCTTTTGTTGGACAGACTTAAAGATCAATATATCTATTCATTTTTAATGTATAGATTATACCTATGATCTCGGTTAATGTTTGCCTTTTAGATTAAAAATATCTCGAATATTTAAATTTTGAAATACTTGTCTCTAAGTAGCTGTTATATAATCAACTATCCACAAATTTATACAAGTTGTTGGATAATTTAAATAAATAATGATTTCATTGCCTCAATTTTATTACAAATTAATTACATATTTTTAAAATAATTTAATATTCTTGCAAAGACGGACTGGTGCTAGTGGACTTTCGCCAGGAATGATGTACAGGTTAACACTTTACTATTTTAGTTATTTGTTATAATGTATAGTGTTCTAAATATATTGGATAAGAGTTAATATGAAAATTAACTTATTAATTTTTGCGGATAATTTAAACATTCACCTTTACCTGAAAAATTAGTGATATAAGAAAATATTGTTATGGGCAAACTTAAGTAAATTGAAATATTATTATCGTTGAATTAAAATATATATATATTTTGTTGATTTCAAATTTCATATGTAACGTAAGATATCTGATATATTTAAAACGTTATGAAAAGCTAGCTGTTGAATTTCACGCTATTTTATTTTTATGAGATGTTTTAAAGTCTAAATAATCTAGTCAAATTGTGTTTTTAGTGGAAAAGTTTTGGGGTAGTTTTGGAAAGATATAAATTTAGTATTGTTCTTTATGTTTCCTTGCAGTGCTGAATTTGAATCTAAAGTTTACAACTTATTGGTATATATCCACCACAAATTTTATTGCTACTATTAAAGTAAAGTAAAACATTCCATGTATATTCTCTAAGATATAAATTACTAATAATTCAGCGAACTGAACTTAGCGGTTATAAATAAAGTGAAGTTAGTCAAAAAGAGAGGCAACACGCGCCTTCAGAAATCGCATATTTATCTATCCCTTTTTAATTATTTCCTGCTCTAAAAATGTTTGGCGCTTCTTTCAAATGTAGAACTTTTGCTACAGTAGCGCCATCTTAAGATTTTCTTCTTTTATGACCACGAAGATATTTCTCCTTACCTCTACCCTCCATAGACAGAGATTAACCTACCCAAGCGAAAACTATAAAAAAGTCTAAAGAAAAGTGCTAAAATTATTCATCAATGCTTAGAAAGGGAAGCGACTTCAGTAACGAACTATAGGTACACTGGATGACAGTTCAAAATTATCAATTTCTAACTCGCATTAAAAAGTATAAACAGCTATTAGCTATTTAGTATTAGAACACGTGGGGAAATTTAATCGCGAACGGCATCTTGGATAGCAGCTGGTTGTTGGAACAGAGGTTAGATTGGATAAGAATCTGTACGATTTTTTTTCTGCTAAATTCATATAACCTAGTAAGAATTGTAGTTACATTTACTAAATACGCCTATTTTTACCAGTTAAGCCAATTGAATTTTAAAGATATTTAATTTTGAAATACACAGTTAAAACTTTTTATACATTAGTGACTCATGAGCTAGTACTAAAAAATATGAACAAAATTTAACCCACGTCTCAAAAAGAGTCGCCATCCATGGAATAGGTGAAATAAAAACTACCCTAAAACTTTCCTGCTGAGGACCTTTGAATACAATTTGGCTAAAGTAAAAGTTATGGATGAAATTATTCTAAACTTAAACGACAGACAAATTTTTATTTTCATATTAATTTATTTGATAGACAATCTGTTTTGCAAGAGGGATCAAAAATTGGTCATTTCATAATTATCATTTATACCCCCTTCGAGAGAAATTTTATGTTACATAGTATTTAATAATATGTAGCAATAAGAAGAAATGCCTTTATATCTCCATAAAATACGAATATTATATTGATAAACAAAACACGATATGTAATACAATTTTTTAGCAGCAACACTATCAATTTATAATTTAGTGTCCAGTTAATTTTTAATAGTCTTAGTTAATTAGATCTTTATTCTGTACGTTGCAATCATTATTTATGATTACAATATATGTACATTGGGATATTTTTTTTCTGTATATCTTTACAAGTCTTCTCCATGCAATACTATAATGTGTAAAAGTATTTTTGTTTTTCATCTGTATTTTTATATATACTCCAGAATTTATACTATTCGATGTTGTCAAGTTACAATAGCAAAACTGCTCTATATTACCTATAAATTTTATTTTTAGTTCATTAAAACGTGCATCTAAAAAACAATAACTAAACTACGACATCTTTTTTTCTACGAATTTCGGCCTGCTTTTAAAGATTTATATAATTATATTATTCATGACCAAGTCGTTAATGTTTAGATTATTTTAACCATAACTAATGCAGTCATATCATTTTCTATCTATCTGGTACCTTAAAAAACAATATCATTCCTAGATCTTTCAATTCATAAAAAATAATGTCAATATTAGTCTTATTGTCATTATTACTCTCTTTATATCACTTTAAACGACAACACCCAAAAACCAATTTTAATATAAATAAAAACAATATGAATATAATATTTGTAAATCACGTTTACTTTCCAAAAAATTACATTATTTCCTTTTTTACATTAAGATGTATCATACCATGAAAAAAAGTTCCAGAGTTGGTTTGGAAATTAAGATCGCTATTATGTAAAATTATATGGAAAATGGCATCGAGCATCATTTCCAAACCATCTTGAACTCCTTTTCAATAAATTGAATCGTTTTAATGTCAGTATAAAATAATATAATTAAGTTAGGTGGAATAAATAAAAAGCTAATTTTGCAACGTTGCTATAATTATCTAGAAATTATTTTTTTACTGGGAAAGAGAACTTGATATTAACTTCTTAGTATTAAGATCTTTTTGGCAATATTTTTTTGATAATTGGTTCTGAACATTCGCGCCAAATATATTCAAATTGGTTTTATCGTTTCAGACAACAAACTGATTATTTTTTCATTATAGTTAATTATAAGTTGTCTGCTATAATGGCCTCATTTAGTAGTTTTCTTAGAATATTTTAGAACTTTGTGAAACTTAACTCATAGGATGACATAATATATAAATACAATCGCACTTGCATTCGTTGGCTGAACATACGCTATTATAGCTTATTGAGTTATATTTTCCGTAGGCTCTTATAGCTGATCCTTTATACCTTATACGTTGTACGAAGGATGCGCATTGTTACGCAAATAATCTATTACATTAATAAACATTAAGATATTATGCTAATTACGGAAGAATGTCATAAAAATGGTAAAGACGAAATAGTTAATTCATGCTTGCTTCATCTACGTTACCGTAGATGGAGCTTAAGGCTGGGTAGTGATCCATATTATACAGGGTTGTTCACCACATACGACACGGAGTATTGTAGCTAAACGATGAGATTTTTACAAATTGTAAGTTTGGGGTTCGTTGAAGGACTATAGAGCTACAATTTAAAAATATTTTTACAAGATACAGAGTGTCCCAAATAAATAAAAAATATCAAAGTTGTATTTTTTTAAATGGAACACCCTGTATATTATTACATTTTTAGTTTCTACGATTAAAATAAAGGTAAATTTGATTAAGGTTTATTATACTTAAACCTCAATTTTGTGAAATTGCAGTAAAAATTTTAAAGCTTCATTTCTCCAAGGGTATCAATGTTTTTAATACTAAATATTTAATGAAGTTTATTTATTGATCAGTTATTGTGTTGCAATAATAAAAATAATACTACCTTATACAGAGTGTCTAAAATTTATTTTAAATAATTATTAGCTTCAAACGGCAATAACTTCTTTAATTTAAATGGAATGCTCTGTATATTTTAGGAGAATCAGATGCACAATTAAATTGTCTATCAAATTGTATTATACCATTTTTTACCTATCCCTTCAAGTTTTCGTAGAAAATGCATTTTCTTATAATTTACACCTCATTTATCAATATATCCATGGAATATTGACATTTTAGATTGTTTTTAAAGCAACAAATGTACAAAATGTACAGACTAGTAATATTATCGTTTAGCAAACGATAATATTACTAGCCCATTTGTATGCAAAAAGAAAACTATTTAAATCTTTATAAAAGAGTATACCATTAATTAAATATAACACCATTATTTCCGCCCATATACTAATTAATGACATACTTAATTGTGTTCGTTAATAAATTATTATAAATAAATATGGATTTTTGAGTCAGAAATCAATATAATAATAAGTTATCAAATTAAAGTCTTTGTTGTTATAAATAAGCATTTATTAAAAAATGAAATATCATTTTTAAGGTGTTACTTTTTATCACACTGTCTAATGCCCATACAAAATTCAGTTTTTTAGTATTTGGAGCAATTATTATTAATCAACGCAAACAGTTTAACAGTCAGTTAATGTAGTTTGAATACTGGAATCATATTAATTGGTCCTCTTTAACAAATATTTAAACAGTTTTTTTTATTTTTTTAATGAAATAAACGAATTATATCGACAATATTAGTATCTGTACTCTTTAAAAATTTGGTACATCTTTAAAAATAATCTAAAATGTCAATAGTCCATGGGTATATTGATAAATAAGTTCTAAATTACAAGAAAATGCATTTTCTGCGGAAACTTAAAGAGATAGGTAAAAATGGTATAATATAATTTGATAGACAATTAAATTGTGCATCTGATTCTCGTAAAATATACAGGGTGTTCCATTTAAATTAAACAAGTTATTGCCGTTTGAAGCTAATAATTATTTAAAATAAATTTTTAGACACTCTGTATAAGGTAGTATTATTTTTATTATTGCAACACAATAACTGATCAGTAAATAAACTTCAGTAAATATTTAGTATTAAAAACTTTGATACCCTTGGAGAAATAAAGCCTTAAAATTTTTACTGCAATTTCACAAAATTGAAAATATTTCAAAAACGGTAAAGTTTAAGTATAATAAATCTTAATCAAATTTACCTGTATTTTAATCGTAGAAACTAAAAATGTAATAATATACAGGGTGTTCCATTTAAAAAAATACAACTTTGATATTTTTTTCTTATTTGGGACACTCTGTATCTTGTAAAATTATTTTTAAATTGTACCTCTAATAGTCCTTCATCGAATCCAAAACTTACAATTTGTAAAAATCTCTTCGTTTAGCTACAATACTACGTGTCGTATGTGGCGAACAACCCTGTATAAACATAGTACAAAAAGCAAAATATTGCCCTAACCCCTACATATGTGCTATTCTCTGCATTAAGTTCATCAGACCGAAGGAAACAGCGATTCGACGACCGGTTTCGTAGATTTACCTCCATCATCAGGCCACATTTCATCAGGTTACAGCAAAGTCGGCCTGATGATAGAGATAAATCTCCGAAAACCATCGCCGTTTCCTTCGGTCTGATGAACTTAATGCTGACCGATTAATTGCAAAAACCGATTAATTTCAATAATCGAGTACTCGAGTTTCAAGCGATTGCAATAACCGAGTGATCGCTCGAGAAATATCACTCGTATTTAAAAATACGGTTTTTCGCCCGTCCTTGTTGTAAGTACTCGTTAACGCGAGCGCCAAGCAGTAAGTTGCGTGCGAAGGGCATATATTCTCTCGGTGATGAATGGCAAGTAGCAAACAACGAGCGATTCGCTTGATCGCTTGATTTAGTTTATTTTAAAGCATTGTCGATGTAGGTCGTAAATTTTTGTCCCTCAGATACGCAACGGATAAATATATATACGGCGTCGTATAAATTTGCTACCTGCAATGTATGTAGAAACTTCGCTCGGCTTTTTATCGAATATGTCACATTAAAATCGGATTTCAATTTATTTCATTCTAGGATAGCTTGCGTTCGTCGCTTGTAACTCGTCATTTGCATCGCTCGTTCATAATCGAATGATGTCGGTTTTTTCAATAATCGAGTACTCGAGCGAATTTTCGCTCGAGTTATCCCATCACTACTTATTTTGCTTTTTCTACTATGTTTATAGGAAAAAGTTAAAGTTTAAACATTATTGTGGGAATGCAGTGATCTAACATTTAATTATTAAAATAAATATAAGGCAATATGGTTAAGTTAATAAATCTATACTTACTTGGAATGAATCTGTTATTTGGAATAAAATATTATTCAAAATTTTATACTCTATATTACATTTTGCATCACGGGTATTGAATGTCAGGTGTCAAGAGATCGCATTCAACTCAATCTTGGATTAAAACGAAAAACATCACAGAACAACGGTTATAACAATCACCAAACTATGAAATAAGACTAAACCTCTGACCTATGATCTTGATTCAGGGATATAAATTATTTGACACTTTCGCTAGAACAAATGTTACTTGTAAAAATAGCTAATTTGGTACGTGTGTACGACAAGTATCAAAAATATTTTTTAAGAGACAAGAAAAACGTAATCCGTATTTTAGCTAGGAGTGCGCATGAGCAGTATAAAGGTTGATTCTCACTATGCCTTCCTTTTCCATTCAATATCCATTCCATATCCGCTCCGTATTTTTTATTGTATTAACGTTATACGTAAGCTTCGGTTCCGTATCAGTTCCATACTATTTATTGTACAATTTATATCATTAGGAAAGTTTTATTTTATAAATTTGTATTTTTTAAAAGGGTAATAGATTTAATTAAGAGGTGAAAGAATCAATAAATATCAAAATGTTAACAGAGCTGGTACAAATGAAAGAACTGCTGTTTCCGATACGCTTCAGTCCGTCCGCCAAAAAAATGTATGGAAGGAAAGGATATGGAACGGAAGGGAAACGGAACGGATAGTGGGCATTGTCCTATTTATTTACATGATATATTTTACGTAAACGGAAGGGAGCTGATGTGGATGGTATAGTGAGAACTTTAACGCATAACGTAGGAATAAAGGTATATAAGGGCTTAAAAATATAGAAGGCTTAAAAACTATAATGTTTAGGAATAATTTGTCATTTATTATATTCTTTGATGTCAGGGTATATACACTCAGATGCAAAAAACGCAACGGAAAATTTTTTCAGTGTAACTTAAAGTATTACATTTATAGCCCTATTTATATGATTTTTCATGAAATTGATACTTGCTATTATATGGAAAATGTCAAAAAAAATTGTTTCAGTAAATGTAAAATCTAATTTTGAACAACTTTTTTCTTTTAACTTGTTGACAGCTTGTCTTATTAACTCACTTTTTTCATGTTTAAAATGCATTTTTATAAATAGCCGCGTTGACATGTAACAGATTAAATTATTTTTTTTTGTTATGTGACATGCTAAATTGATTTTGCATATTTTTGATATTTTCATCTAAATATAAATTTGCTAAATGAGCCCATTGTAGGATCAATTAATCAAAGATAAGAAAACTACACAAATGCAAAATCCATAACACGTTTCTACTATGTTGTCTTGTTTCTATACTTTGCATGCTTCTAGCTAGAATAGTTTAGATCGTAGCGTAGCGAATATATGTTTAGGCAAGGACAGAACACACACACGCCTCCATCACCTCTATCCTCTCGTCATAGCAGCCAGGAAAGCTTGCACAAGAACGCGTATGGTACCATGACCGGCCTCTCGCGGGAAGTCACATCGGCGGCAGCAGCAGCAGCAGCAGCGGCCGCAGCACAAAAGAAAAAGGGCATCAAGAGCAGTCTGGGAAGATTCTTCAGCAAGAAAGAGAAGGTATGATATTGTTTTATATGTGATAGCCGTTGGTGGTGGGTAAGTTTTTGTCCCGCCGTGCACGAACACCATTTTTTCGTTCAATTCATTAAATAAAAATGCAGTTGGGATGGCCGCGTTTATGCAACTGGACCGACAGTTGATACTCATTTCAACAGCCATACTGTTGCATCTGAACGATCTGTCCCAAGTAACATTTTTGGACGCATTTTAGGTAATATTTTTAATAATTGTGTCTGTTTCTTGACACAAAATGGAAACGGTATGCCACAAATTGGAAACATTTTCGAAACCTGTATATTTTATATGGCTTTATTACATGTGTTTCCACTGTGATGGCGCTAGCCGTTTCCTGAAATGTTTCAATGCGGAATCAAAACTTTTAGAGGAAATGTTTCGAAACATTTTCTGAAATTTGTGACCAAGATTCCGACCGATTGTGACCGTTTTCAGCAGCCAATGTGAAAAAAACAAACTACCAAACTAAAATAGTCTATGTCTATGTGTGGATTTCAAAATTAAAACAGCCATCAATAATGTCGACCTCCGCCATATTTTTTTTGTCCTAAGATCTGTGTTTTTAGGTTTTCTCGCACAAAAAATGTCTGGCAACAGCAAATTCATCGTTTAATTTAATAAGTACTTTCATATTTTTGATGCCTCTTTTATATATTATTATTTGTTGCTACAAAATATTTTTATTTGAAATATAGATTTTTATTTTTATTTCTATATCATGGTTCTGAAAATAAAAATATATAAATTAACAAACAAACTATATAAATTAATGTAAGTAGGACGCGTCTTATCAGTTTAAAAGCTCAACAGCCGATAAATAACATATTTTTGGTTAAAAACGCCATCACTAGCCAACATGGCGGAATTTTATTTCATTATTTTATAAAACTGACATGGTGTCGGACACAAATTATCTACATTTTATCATAATTTGTGTCTAAAAGAAGAGAGATTCGTGTTTCGAAAATGAATCGACAATAAATGGAAAAAATGTTCCAAAAGTGTTCCGATTTAGCGCTATCTGTATAGAAATTTCGAACTAGTCACCTGTCAACAACGCCAATCAAAACTTCTTCTCAAAATAATTAAAACATTTTTATTTACTTATTATAACACAATTAAAACATAAAAAGATATATTCCATTGTGGAAAAAAGAGAAAAAAAAAGAAGTTTGCTGGCTGTAACATTTTTCTTCGGTTTCCTGTTGGGTATGGGTAGTGGCTGCTGTTACATTTATTCCTAAAACAAATCATGCCTGTAATGCTTCTAATAAATTGTTATAAAATTGCATAAGAAAAATATCTATATTTGCACTCCCCATATGTCCTTCCTTCTGCTTTTTTAATTATAGTACATACTATAAAAAGTTCACACAAGAATACTTAAATGCAAAGACTGCAGAACAAAATCCAAACAATAAAGTAAGGTTATGTTTATTTGATAGAATATCAAATAAATTATGGAAACTTTTCAGGCACAAAACGGGTAAGAAATATTTGTAAATGTGAGCCACATTTGTTTCCTAAAAGTTTCGAAAAATTTGCGACACAAGATATTTATTGTTATACCTTATGTAGCGAAACCATATTTTGCTAAAATGTTTCGAAACAAAAAGCGATTTATGTCACGAAACATATGTATCAAAAATGTGACAAAACTGTTTCGTAATGTGTCTCTGCAGAGATTTTGTTTCGACTTTGTGTCTAAACATGTGCTATTGACATGGGAGTCTTGCGTCTACAAAGCGGCAATTTGTTTTTGTCGAACTAGACTCGAATATGTGAAGAAATTAATTGGGGTAGTGATTGTGGTATCTTAAACCATTTTTTTATCGTCCAAAAAAAATTCAATTCAATTTTTTCAAAGTAAAAGCTACCTTTAAATACTAAATAATTTGTTCTGATCTATCGGAATAATAAAACGGATTTTCTTGAGTATTTAAAAAAATTTATCAAATAGGACTTTCAAAACATGTAATTCGAAAAATATTCATAAAAACAGCGGTACATTTATGAATGTCATCATATATTCTCTATCATTCAATATTTCACATATATCTGTTCTTATAAACTGTTGACATTCTCCAACTCTGGACATGCTGGAACTTAGAAAAATATCTAAAAAAATAGCGGTACATTTATGAATATCATCACATATTCTCTATCATTCAATATTTCACATATGTATCTGTTCTTATAAACTGTTGACATTCTCCAACTCTGGACATGCTGGAACTTAGAAAAATATCTATAAAAATAGCGGTACATTTATGAATGTCATCACATATTCTCTATCATTCAGGCTGTATTCCGTTGCAAAACCAGGTGAACCAGACCGGTAAACTACGGTAAAGAGCGATTCCTGAAAAACATCGATTTGATACGGAACGGTTTGGTAAAATACTGGAAATGTCAAATGTTGACGTTTTCTAAATTTCAATACCTTTATTATAAAATTTATCTTTTATGCATTTTTAATGTACCTATTCCCTGCTTTACGTTTGCTTCTTCTTTTCGATGGAGTTTAATATTGAAAAGTACTTTATTAATAAACTATTAAACTCGTTAGACAGCTCAAGTGAAGATTTGCACGTCCAATATTAAAACAGATTATAAATCTAATCAATATTTATATTTTTATAGCTTACCAAACATTCACGTTACTTGTCTTGTTTTTCATGTTTTCTTTAAATGTTCCTGACTTTAAGAAACAATGGCTGCATAATAAATTTAAATGGTCCTAAAAGTCATTCTATTTAGTTAATGAAATTTATTTACCTTTACTGCCTACCCTCATTGCTTTTGGATGTAAATACAAAATAGTATAACAAATCTTAGAAATTAAATAAGAATTTCACTCGAACTTCCAATATTTGCTTGATTTCTGTCACATGAATGACATTGATTGACAAACAAAACCAGAAAAACCAGCCTTCTCGCACTGGTTAGTTTGATGACAGTTATAACCGAATTTTTCATGAACCGTGTTCCGTAACAAGAAAACTTTCAGGAAACCGCTAGAAACGGAACATAAAACCATAACCAAGGTAAGCAACGGAATACACCCTCAATATTTCACATGTCCGTTCTTCTAAACTGTTAACATTCTCCAACTCTTGACATGCTGGAACTTGCATCAAAATAAATTTTGACTGTTTTTCATCTACAAACAATGCAACTAATTGTAGTATACAGAGTCTAAAAAAATAGTGTACCAAACTTCAGTGGATGATACTGCAGATAAAAATAAAAGAGAAAGTTTCTATGAACATAAAATATGACCTAAAATGATTCTTGAGGAAGTTACAGACCTTGAAAGTCTTTACAGCCCTTGCAGCCTTGACTTGAACATAAACTTGTAAAATGGTTTACCAGTGTTCTTAAAAATAAACAAAATATATTATTCTTATCCTCTACCGTCCGAAGCGGTTGGTAAAAGATAAAACCGCCAGCCGAGAAGAATTGCGTCACAAACTAGTCTGTGACGTAATATATGGTATTCGCAAGACAATTTCCGATGCACGTGATCAACTTTGAGTGACAAGTGATGGTGACAGCGCTGCCAGATTGTGATGGATTTATGAGATGAATCTTAATTTAAAATTGACAAACAACGTATTTATTATATCATTTATTAAAGAGTTTTACGTTTTTTTTTAATTTAATAACTAATATTTTAGTGATTAATTGATTTATTTGTTTTATAGCTTATTTTACTTATTACATATTGGCAAAAACTACTCCATTATGAAGATTATTATAAATATTATTATGGGTTATTTATTTATTGATGTACATCTTACAACGCCATAAGTGGTAATAACAAGTAAGAGGGTGCTCTTAATGTACAAACTAATAATCACAGATTTTAATAAAAACTAACTTTGAAAGTCGTATAAAGTGCTTATCAATCAAACTTACTTTTATGACTGCAGTCAAGGGTAATAAAGGACCTTTATTGTCACGTTCTCATTCAAAATAGTTTAAAAAAAACAAGGAAGCTACAAGCTCTTTGCTTCGACTGTTTAAATGCTTCGGCATATTTTCAACACACAATTTCTAGATATGCACTACAAAAACTCGAAAATTTAGTTCTTAAAAGTTTGTGCTTAAAAGGGCAATTTTTAAAAAGAAACTATGAAAATAGTAAAGGACAACATTGCCGAACACGGCGCAATGTGACCAACATAGCGATAATAAAATTCGGTTTAAACTATTTTTTGCAGCTTTAATATAAATAAAATATCTGTCACAATCATTTGCTCTGTAAAGTAAAATTAAGAGCTGCTCGGTATCTTAGATTATAATGAGATTATACAACAAATTTAAACATTTTTGCCAAGATTTTATTTAGTCAGGTTTATAGACTTTAGTGTCAATGTCGATATGATTGATGACGTGCATCGGAGAATGTTTTACGATTACAATAGCATTGTCGCGCCAGGCCCACGATTTCAGATTTCAATAAATTATTTAAGTGCTTTTCAGGTGGAATTTGTGTAAACTGATTTTACGTTCATATATATTAGCTGAAAATGTGTTAGTAATCTTAAATATATTTTAGCTGTCGCTTGCAAGCTTAGTTGCATCGTTTGTGGATGAAAATAAGCCAACAAAACGTCAGGTTAAATTCAAAACAGGTTCGAGAGGTATAGAACTACATTTTTCGTATAATTGAGGTTTTGATAAGTTACACTCAGTCCTGTGCTTAAGTATAATAAGGGTTGAAGTAATAATACAATATATTTTATATATATTTTAAATAATTTATTAAATTTTATTAAAAAAACTACACAATTTACTACTTAATGCCAATTATTTTAGTAACCATTTTGAATTTATTGAAACCACTAACTACTAATTTTTGATCGATATCTTGCAATTTCACTTTTTATAATTATCAATTAACAACAGTACTCCTATCCTGTGTCGATTATTACGTTGGATGCTGGAGTATTGGACGTCATTGAACGCCATCTCTCGATCTTTCTACTACCAATAAATAACTCGCTTGTAATTGACTTCGGCGGTCGTTTCCTAACATTATCCAGAGATGTTGCTCGTCGTTTCCTTGTTAAGTTATTTTCTTTTAAGTTATTTTAAGAATTATATGGGGGAATCACATTGTCTTTTTGTGAAGTTGTTACGTGTTTTATAAGTTTTCGTTTGGTTTGGTTCATAATAGTCAATGTCCTTTATTTATATACAGGGTGGGCGCACCTCATTCGCCTCGGTTGATTATACGAAAACGGAAATATGTAGAAACAAAATATTTGATGGGTATATGTGGGGAGACAATATGCACAATTTAAAATAATTTTAAAATATACAGGGTGTTTCATAACTAAGATCCATACCAAAGTTATATTTTTTTTTATGGAACACGCGGTATTTTATTTCATTTTTGGATTCTTGTGCCCAAAAAAAAGCATTTGTTATAAGGGTTCAATATGTTTAAAGTCTTTAGTTTTTGAGATATTTAAATATATTTAAATTTGCATGGTACAATAGAATCGACTATTAACACCCTGTACATTACTTTTTAGAATTAATTCTTATGCTGAGTTTAAAGGTAGAGAAATAAACTTTACTGAAAAATGGTATTGGTTCCTTAAATTTATACAGGGCTATCAAAAGTTGCTGATCTATTTTAAGGATATATTTTATATAAAAACTTCGTTATTTCAAATGCAACACCCTGTATTTTTTTAAATAAATCGAAGCAGATTCAAATGCTCTTTCAAACTATATTAGGATTTCCTATACCTATCTAACTGAGATTTTGAATAAAAAGCGATTTTTAAATAAAAATGCCATCAAGATGGTTGGTGTCGCCATGAAAATTTTCTAGTGACAGTTAGTAACTATTTTCAAAGTCGACATTAGTTTATGGACATTATTATTTTTAATTTATGACAGTTTACTTAAATTTACCTACAATAGTTTAATAAGATAATAAGTAAGTATTCATTACTTTATCAAGAAAAATAAAGCAGTAACTGCTGGCGGGACGAATAGATATGTTACTAGTGATATTATTTTGTGAGGAAAATTGCTTCTTGGCCTCAAGAGCTTATGCTCAAAGATACCCAAATAAAAAAAAACTTCTTGTCCTTCGCCGAGCTGGTAGTGTGGTTTATAAAAAAAAACCTATTAGGCAGAAACCTGACGTTGGAAGTGAATAAAATGAATTTGCCCTAATTGGCTATTTTATAGAAAATGCATATATCTACAAGTCATCGTAAAATAATTCAAAGAACTACTTCTTTGTTTTTCTTGATAGAATAATATACACATATTTAATAAATATTATTTATTAAATTATTGTAGGTAAATTAAATAAAAGTCAACTGGTATAAATTTAAATAAGTCCATAAATTAATTTCGATTTTGAAAATAGCTACTGTCACTAGAAACTTGCCGTTACAACACTAGCCATCTTGATACAATTTTATTGAAAAATCGAAGTATAGGAAACACTAATATAATTTGAAAGAGCATTTAAATCTGCTTCCACTTATTTAAAAAAATACATAGTGTTGCATTTGAAATAACGAAGTTTTTATGTAAAATAAATATTTAAAATAAACCAGCAATTTTTGATACCCTGTATACATTTAACGAAGGAATATCATTTTTCTGTAAAGTTTATTTCTCTACCTTTAAACTCAGCACAAGAACTAATTCTGAAAAGTAATGTACAGGGTGTTAATAATCTATTCTATTGTAGCATGCAAATTTAAATATCTTTAAATATCTCAAAAACCAAAGATTTTAAACATATTTAACGCTTATAATAAATACCTTTTTTTGGGCCGAAGAATCCAAAAATGAAATAAAATACCGGGTGTTCCACAAGAAAAAATATAACTTTGGTATGGATCTCAGTTCTGAAACACCCTGTACATTTCAAAATAATTTTAAATTGTGCACATTACCTTCCCACATATACCCATAAAATATTTTGTTTCTACATTTTTCCGTTTTCGTATAATCAACCGAGGCGAATGAGGTGCGCTACCCTATAGATGTAAATTATTTTATTTTTAATAACCTTTTCTAGAATAAATAGTACAATTATTAATTTTATGATAATTTTAAGTTTTAATAATTTCTGTTTATGGTATCTATTATTTTCATTATTCTCTCTTTCAACTACATTTCTTCAAATAAACTCAAATACATTACAAATAAATTCTTCTGATATTTTTTTAAAGAATTAGTGATAATTAACACAAATTTTTTATCAAATATTTTGTATATATAGTAATTTATATTATTTAATAGGTAAAAGGAAAGGAAATGCCAGGAACAGAAAGTAGTTTGAATTTAAGTCAAAGCAGTATTGGTTTGCCAGATGGCGATTTAAGTGATAGTATGAGCATATCAGGGAAATTGGGACAAAAATCAGGAGATTTTGATCGACGTCAAAAGAAAAAGTAAGAATATAGTTTCGTATTTTATTTTACTACTCTTAGAACATTGTAACTATCATATATTATGTACATTCCTTTGCAGAGAACGAGATTATAGACACGAATTATTGGCAGAAGCAATGAAAGCGGGAACTCCATTTGCTTTATGGAATGGTCCCACTATTGTAGCTTGGTTAGAATTATGGGTAGGCATGCCGGCGTGGTATGTAGCAGCGTGTAGGGCTAACGTTAAGTCTGGTGCTATTATGAGCGCTTTAAGTGATACAGAAATCCAAAGAGAAATAGGTAATTACATTTGTTAAGGCTATGTTCTACACCAAGGTTATTTTACAGATGGTTTTGAATATTTTTAGTTATTTGAGCTACAGGAAAAATAAAATCGTTTATTATGTCGTCGGATGGTTGTTTCTTTCGACCTGATGAATTTAATACAAAAATTAGCACACTTGTAGGGGTTAAGGCCTTTTTACTTCTCCGCATACTATTTTATCTTATATTGAACTTTGCTTTGCTTTTAGCCCCATCTACGGATAGTTAGATGAAGCAAACTTGTTTGTTCAAATTATAACGATGTAACGTCGAACCACAGTTATACAGAGTGTACTGTTTATTATTTTACGTACTACTTTTATTTTAATTTTTATTAGGCTGTACTTAAACTGCTCTCAAACGGTAGCTTACTAAAATGCCGTTAATAGGTATGACGTATGACGTCGTTGATGTGACGCACTTGACGGCTTTATGAAATATAGGAATTTTATAAGGACTAACCAACGCTATCCACCCCACCAAATAACCAACTTAACCAACACAACTAACCTCGACACTGATAAAAAAATATAAAAAACAAATATAAATTAGTAAAAACCAACCAACCCCACCAAATAACCAACTAACCAATGAATTAACACCCTCCAAATAACCACGCTAACCAACCCGCCAAATAACTAAACCAATCCAACCAAAAAGAGTGAAAAGTGAGCCACAGGCGCTCTTGCAAAATGCTTATCGCTAGGCATTACTTTCCGCCGACATGAACGACGTCACAATATCTATTAACGGCATTTTAGTAGGCTACCGTTTAACGGCTGTTTAAGTACATCGTTTTTATTATTTACTTACTCTTTATTTACTATTTACTACTACTATTTATATTAAAATATCTAAATATGATTTATCAAATGAACAAATACCCATAAGTTACTTCTTAATAAAAGAACATTTATAACTGAATTGTAGGAATAAGTAACCCACTTCACCGATTAAAACTACGCTTAGCAATTCAAGAGATGGTATCGTTAACTTCTCCAAGTGCCCCAAAAACGTCCCGTACGACTTTAGCATTCGGTGATATGAATCACGAGTGGGTCGGCAATTCCTGGTTGCCCTCGTTAGGTTTACCCCAATATAGAACTACATTTATGGAATGTTTAGTAGACGCCAGGATGTTAGATCATCTAACAAAGAAGGATTTGCGAGGTCAGCTCAAGATGGTCGACAGCTTCCATAGGTAGTAATAATTTATATTTATATGTTTTTTATATCACAAGTTGTCTTTACTTTTATAAAATGACGGCCTATAGTGGATTTCCTCCAAATTAAAAATGACGGAATTTCAAACTTGGTATTAGCAATTACTTCAAATTGCTTACCGAAGTTTGAGTTAAAAAATATTCTTTTGTGGATTTATTATTGAGTTACACATACAAAATAAATAATTTGTCATTAAATAGACCCACTCTTACTTTTTTGTTAAATGTCAAAATTAATCTAAATATTTCTCGAAATTTAAACAGAAAGCGATTCTAAAAAAACTAGCAATTGAATATGTTTAATCGCCTATAGGAAATCGTTTAATATAATGTTTTCTTTTTATAAAAAAAGTCCGGCCTTTTTGCCACTGGAAGGGAAATCTGCAAAATAAAAGAGTTATTTTTATGCCTAACCTAACCTAACCTAACCTAACCTAAAACCACTGCGAAGAATCCAAATGGAAACGAATAAAGCTTGTTACTAGTTAAATAAATTTGACTAACCGACAAAACATGTTGTGAGTAAAATCTGTCTTTAAAACTCTACTACCACGGATAATTTTATTAGCTTACACCAATCTGCCTTAATTGGGTTTTGAAAAAAAAATTGTGTTGTCAGCAAAACTATTGTTACTTTGGTTTACTATGGTCCTTTTCTAGCATTTTTGTAGGACTTGTTTTCGTTCAATATTTCTAGGAAAGGTAGGATTAATTTTGACAGTTTAAGCAAAAATTGCTTTATAGTTATAATTATTATAATAATAGATATAATACAGTTAAAAAAAAATTGTTATAATTGTAATAGATTCAGGAGGACGCATTCATTTTGAAAAATAATACCAACTTGTGATATATCATGAAAAAAATATATTTAAGCTTTATAAAATTCTTTGCATAGGTTCACTTTCGGTTAGACCTTATTTCTAATGAAATGAATATAAAATTATATTATAAGAAAGAAATAATGAATATAATACCATTTCTGTAAGAAAAAGAATTCATATGAGAGGTAAGGGGAAAAAACAAGGATACTCCATTTTATAGGAATTTTTAAGTATCATCTTAATATATCGAGAAGAAAAAAATAACAGGTCCCAAACACCACCTAAATTGTAATTGAATATAACAAACTATATCCAAGTAACAACGCATACAGCAATAAATTTTTGCATTTTTAACATAATATCTGGCAACATTAAATCTGTTTTCTCTGTAAAAGCCAGTTTTGTGACATCGACTGTTTTCCCTTCATATGTGGTATATTTTTCATACATTAAACTACTTCTTTTAACCCTATGGGTGGTAAAAGTGTGTATATTTTCTTTGTGACCGTAAAGGTTCAGCTTCAAGTATAATTTTCACAACTAAAACATTTTTTAAGTAATATCTTCAAAATTAAGTGAAAACGTCACGTAGGTTGAAGATTAATATTGGTCAGTTTCTCAATGTTTATGTCAGTTCATCAACAAGTTTGTCTTTCATTGTATTGTCACTTCCGAAAGAGAGTCAATAAATGGATTCTAGCTTGTTCTTATGAATTATTGAAAACTATATTGAACTAATACTCTTGCTTTCGTAGAAAATGACTAGAAAGAAAGTCAATAAATAAATTTCTAATTCCGTAAATATTCAAGGATTATTTAAAATGCTTGTTTTTGTGAGTTACTGGACTAATTTTTTTGCTTTCTTGGAAATTAAATTATACCTATGATTTAAAACTAAATTATAGCTAGCAGTGAATACTGTCTAAAGTTACAATCATATTTGAATAAAGCTTCATTCAGAACCTCCGAATTAGTGGAATAAATCATTGGTTTCAATTACACTTTATACTTTTTAGTTTACGATCATTCACATTGTCTAAAAAAACACAATTAAAATTAATAAAATATCCTAGCAACAGTTTGCGGTAGTCTGTTGTATCCACAGAGAAAGCATAATATTTAGCTTATAAAACAAACTTTTGATTTCTAACCAAAATTTTTCTTGACGGGTGATAGTTAATAGCCAAAATGACATTCCTCGCAAATTTTGAAGTATAATTAGTGAAAAAGTCAAAAGTTTGTTAACTTTTTCTACTAATTCAAATTCATTCGGCATTTCAAAAAATTATAAAGTATTATTACTATTTATATTTTTATGCAACTTTTTATATTTTATGCTTTATGATTGAAATTAATATTATTTAGATCTTAACCAAACACACATTAATATATTTAGATCTTAACAAACCACATAAAATTAGTGAAATAGAGTGGAAGATGGGGATAAAATATACTATATGACTCTTAGCTTAACTGATTTTAACAAATTTGGTATCATTCAAAAGGGTTTAATTTGTTCTTTAAAAACAAAGCTAGATATGAAAAATAGTCAAATAAAACTTCTATTTTTAGTTTTTTAATCTAAATAAGTGTCATTACAAACATTTATATATAGCTTTTATTTTAAGTTTTTAAAATCTTTGTTTTAAGTCAGTAGTGAATAAAACGAAACTTGTGTTTACATTTTGTTTAATGATTGACGTTTCGACCGATTTTAATTCGGTCGTCTTCAGAATCTATAATATACAATAAAATTTTATCACTAACTTAATGTGTTTAATATATAATTTTTTCTTACCACAAACGTAGAAAATTATTTATACGTATATTATAGATTCTGAAGAAGACCGAATTAAAATTGTTCGAAACGTCAATCATTAAACAAAATGTAAACACAAGTTTCGTTTTATTCACTACTGACTTAAAACCAAGATTTTAAAAACTTAAAATATAATAAAAGAGTCAAAGAAAATTGAAAAAAGAAAAAATATAAATAGTTTTTATAGCACCGTATTATCGAAAAGGACCGGCATCAGCGATGGCCATGAAATGAAGGTCGGTGCCATTTTATATGTAAATTTATATAGGAAATGTCATCAATCGTCATTTCCCATCCAACTGGACGCCGTTTTTTCTATCATACGGCAGTTATATGTACAAATACTTTATTCAAACATAAATATTATTTTCTCTATTTGTACCTTGTACGGAGCGATCAACAAAGTAACATAGGATGACTATTTATCAGCTGTTATTACTAACGTCAAAACAAACCAAAAATTAAATAATATGATCAGTTTTTTGACGATATTTAAATTCGATTTCCATAATAATGTGAGATAATCAAAACGAGATGAGAAATAAATGGGTTTAATCGGAAAGTTTTCTAATTCACTTATTGAATAAGTGTAGTAAACAATATAGGTTACGTGCTTGTAAGAATTTTTTATAAAAAACCGCATATTAAGTATGATATGGTCTCGTACACTTTCGATTAATAATTCATCGGACATGTTTAATGTAAAACCGCTCCACTAAAAACAGTCGCTCGGCGTAGACTATTCGTCCCCCTCCCATGCATTCTCTGATTTGGCCTGATGGCGCGAGTACCGCCGGTAGCTAGAAGCGCACCGATCGCACCGATCTGATGCGGTGCGCGGGCTTACATTTATTTCAACGTAAACTAAAAATTACGTGCTGCTCGCTCGCGCCGATACCCCTTCAGTGCGCGCGAAGCTTAATTATGACGTTCCGAAAGCTTACATTAAAATTAGGTGAACAAACTTCTACGGCCAATTGAAACTACTAATTTATTCCACTGATTCGAGGTTCTGAATGAAGCTTAATATTTTAATTATTAGAGTTTATATTTTTTAATCTTTCATGTTGTTACTTCAATAGGTGTTGAATATACGATAAAATATTTTTTAGGACTAGCTTACAATTTGGCATTTCGTGTTTGAAGAGATTAAATTATGATCGCAATTTGCTTGAAGATAGAAGAAAAAACTGTGAAAATACTAATTCAGATGTATTGGTTTGGAGTAATGACAGGTTAATTAGATGGGTTGTTATGATAGGGTTAAAGGTAATATTTATTGATCATAGCTTATATCAGTAAATTTATACATCTATTGCAGGAATATGGTAACAATTTGTTAGAATCTGGTGTCCATGGGGCTTTAATTGCTCTGGATGATAGTTTCGATGCAAACAGCATGGCTCTTGCGCTGCAAATTCCAACTCAAAATACACAGGTAAGCTAGTTATGAATAAGCTGTGAAAATCTTTATTCATATTTAATCAGACATACTGGTATAATGATAAATTTGCTGATATTTTTTTTCCCGCCTTGATCGCTACTTATATACCCACAGAAGATACTACTGACTTGTTCCAGAAGTTACCTTTTTACAGACGACACTAAAACTCACGAAAACCTCGGATGCATTCGGATCCTACACGGAGAGTTCGGTTTTGTTCGGCGAGAAGCGCTTTGCGGGAATTTTGAACATTATGAATAATCAAGAATCGAACATCGAACAATAATTTTATTATGCTAAATTGCTAACAGTAGTTGACTGTTTTGGTTGTTCATTTTGTTTTTTATAGTTTTTAGACTATTTTTAGAAATATGGCTAGATAATTACAATTTCTTAGAAAATTTTTTAATACAGTACAGGGCAGAGAAATATTATGTTCCGAATCAAGTTGAAATATTTTATTAAAATATCAGTTCTTAAATTGAATCACATGTTCATGGGAAAATAAACGTTTTGGGAAAATTTGTTAGCTTAATTACTGTAACATATTAGAAATAAAAAAAACAAATTTATTGAGTTCTAATTTGATTAAAATGTTGCAGTTTCGATTACGGCCTATAAGAAGAAACTGCAAGAAACTTATGAATGTTCTATGTCAAGAAAATACAATAATTACAACAATACAATACAATAATTTTAACAATAAACAATACCTTAGTAACTTTTAACAATAAACAATACCTTAGTAGTAGTACAAAATAAATATAAAACCCTTAACCAACAGTCAATACATATTTACTTAAGTAAGACCAAAAACAAAATAAATACATTAATTATTACATACGAGCATCATCAGACAAATAATGATGATGCTCGTATGAGCGAGACACGTGTCACTGTTTAACATTATATAAACGTTGAGACCGAGATTTTGAGTCTTTTTTCTACTTCTTTTATAATTTAAACCAGGTCTCTTTGAGAAAAATGGACGCCTTCTTTAAATATAAATAAAATCTTAAACCAATAACCTCTTTCGTTTGTTGTCAACTGTACTCAAATTGAATTTTGGCTGTCTTGACCGAATGATTTTGATTTAAGTAATTTTGCCGACTTAACTCGCAGTTCATGATAATTTAAATAAAAAAATATAGACTTAGGTCATTAAAACGACTTAAATGACATTATACTAATTTAAACCTCTACAAAAAAATTGACTTGAATGAAAACTTAAGTCAAAGACTAAAGATTTAAATAATTTGAATTTTATGCTGATATTGACTTAAGATTTAAATCTTTTTGATTTTACATATGTCTTAAGACTTAAAATTAAGTCTTTTTGAAACTGACTTGTTGCAGCTCTGTAATCATACATTATCGAAAGATGTGGCTAGCGGCCGTACAAATATATATTATTAAACTATTATGACATCGAAAACATGATCTATTTTTGTTTTAGGCGAGGCAAACTTTAGAAGCAGAATACAATAATTTGTTACGAGCAGCAACCGATAGAAGACCTGAAGATATGCGGTCTTGATATGGACCAACCGAATTGCGTACATAATATAATTAGAATAAATTTGAAAGAAATCTCTTGACCATGTAGTGTTCCACTGCTCTGATTTTGCGAAGCAGCCTGTGTGCTACCTCCCTAATCGTTGATATGAAAATTGATCGCGAAATTATTATAAAGCGTATTGTTGGCGTAAGTAAAACTATTTTTAATAGTTTTGCGATAGATCGATCTTGCGCAGATTGTGTGTTATATATCTTTTAAACTTGTATACTAAGTTAGAAATATTTTTATATAACACTACATTAGTTTTGAAACTTTTTACTTAGACAATAGGCGGGCGACTTAATTTTATTGAGTCAATCAATTTATTAAGCAATTTAAATATTCAAAGTAGCTAATTTATCAAAATTATTTTATTTTGATTTTATAATTTAGTATGTATTATTTATTGTTATAATTTTTATTTTTATGATATTTTAAACATTTTGATAAGCTCATTAATTATATTACCCTGCAAATCATTACGACGTAGTGTAATCACTACGACGTAGTGTAACTATTACCTTTCTACTCATATTTATTAAATTAACTAATTTTTGTTCTTAGGAAGTAGGTATACAAGTTTATCTATGAAAAGTAAAGTATATTGAGGTGTATGTAAGATTGACTATGAGCTTTAAACCAAGAATAAAACCTTGTGTTGTAATAACTTATAGTATTATACAAAATAATCACTGTATATTTAGGATGTTTCTTTTCATATCAAAACAGTCATTATGGAAAGTATGATTCACATAATGTGTTTTAATAGATATAAATATATATTTTTTAGTGTACAGATTTGAATTTCTGTTTTTATATGCGCGTGTATATTTTCTTGTTACTTTATTTCTATCATCTATTTGAAGCTTCATTCAAAAAGGACATAAGCATAATGTTAAATTACCAATTCTATAATGACTTACTTGATACATACTCACCGTTTAGTATTACCTAACGGGTATTTTTATTACGGTAAATATTTTTTTATACGACTATATTATTTGTTGCATTTTTATTACATATTTTTTTCTTATAAATTAATCAAAATATAATACAAGTGTTACGTTTAATTTATTTTAAACTATAACAAATTAATTTTTGTCAGATTGTTGGTAGGCTAATTTTGTTTCTTTTTCGAATTATTTTTCCTTTTTTATTGTGGAACTGTATTGACTATGATTTACTATACAATAGTTAATATATTGATGTTTAGCAGAACCTTTTACATTTTTTTCTTCCAAAAATTACATATACAAATATAAAAGAATGGAAATTACTTTTTATATCAACTAAATTCTAAATATTGAATGAGTATTATTTTAGTAGTAACTCGAATCTGAAGATATTTAGAATATCCAGGTTATCGATTTTAAGGTGTATAAACCTATATAATATTTTACTTTCCTTGCAACTTGCAATGTCGTGCACAAATGTTATTGTTGTGTTAACAGTATATTTTTATATACTGTTTCATTATACATATACATATATAGAAAAGTCCCAGTTTTGGTTTCTATTTCAAAAGTTGGTCCTTTTTCTAAGTTCTGTCGTATTATTTTTTATATTGATTACATAATTGATTCTAGAATAAATTTCAATGAATGTCATTTACATTTTTTACTATATTATCACAAATTGGTTAATTAGTAAATGTTTAGTCCATATTCAGCCTGTACACAGAAGACAAATATGTATATGTTAACTAAATATTTTATATCATCTCATACAATATGAGTAATTTCCATTTTACAGGACAAAGATCCACATATTTTTGAAAGGCTCTGTTAAGCAGTTTCTTTTTTTTTGTTTCTTTTTATAGTGTGATATAGAATAGTTTCTATGTAAATAATGTTGAGTGTGGCAGCAAAGTCAGTATTAACCCATGCGTGCCTGCACTGTTTTCATATGGTAGTTTTGGTTATTTGAAGAGTAAAAATGTAAGAATATTTACACAATGTTAAAAAAATCTAGATACATAATTTTTAGCAAGTTCAAAAAGTCAAAAAATGGGTACCTAAAAAATATGGAACCTTTATTGTATGGAGTATTATACAATAATTATTAAATAAATCGTGGATATATTTTTATTCTTTAAATGTCTAAATCTGTCATATTGGTGCTGTCGTCTCAGTTAAGTTAGTAACTTGGGAAGATTATGTCGTTACCATTTTAGTTTTTAGAAGACTGATAGTGTAAAAAACAATATTTATGTCATAAATGAAGATAATGGTATTTATCTTTTATGAGATTTATTAAAAAAAAATAATTCATTTTTGATATGATTAACGAAATTGATACTAGTGGTCGTTTCCAAAACATTCAGGTTAATTTCAAAATAATTGTTAATATAGTAGGAGATGTCAGCTATAAATCATCTATTGAAAACCTTGACTGTCGTAAATTGAAGTTTTGTTATAGTTTTTTTTTATTTATAGCTGTAATTTTAAGCATTTATTGTTGTAAATACTGTTTAATAATTATCTACTAATTTTTCATTAAATATAACTAAGTTTATGGTTATATCATATTAATAAATATTTATTAATTTTTGTACATTTTCGTGTATTATAAAAACATTCTAATGTGTTAATAGTATTTTTTTCTTATATGTGTTGCTGTATATTAATATTTCATTTTAAATAAAAAGTTAAATAAAGTTGGAAAAGTAGGTATGAGCCGAGAAACAAAAAAAATCATAGAAGTTGAATAACCAAATTCATTTCATTATACAGGGTGTCCCAGATATAAGTGCAAGTATTTTAACTGGTAGTATAGTTCAACCCCAGAAACAAGCTTATGAGATTTTTTTCGCGAAAAAAAAATTTTGAAAATTCGAAATTTTTTGAAACATTTTTTGGAATTTTTTTTAGTTTTTAGTTAAAAAAACATAATTTCTTGATAATATGGCAACATAGGTATTATATTAAATTTACAAGAAAGAAAATCCAGAAAAGATCTAGTGAATATGCTAATGATTCACAGGTTTTAGCAAAATATATTCTTTTTTGGAAATTTTCTAAGTAAAATAACTCCGTTATTTTGGACTTATTTGAAAAACGATAAAGGGAAAATAAATTTCTTTTATCGAGATCTACCACCCCTTAAAATACTTGCACTTATTTCTGGGACACCCTGTATAGGAAAATACTTATTTAAAACTATCTCACTAGTCATATCTTAAATATTAATTTTGAATATCTTTATGCCGCACGTATATATATAGATTAAAAAAAGTAAGGGATATATGGGTATAAAATTTATAATAACGTCAGTAGTATGACATGCCGTTAAGTGTATCATCACATAAAGAAATCATTGGGCAACTGGCATTTATTTTTAGATGAATGCTGAAATTAAGTTTCTATACGAATATGTGTTTACCAATATCATTTTATTAGTTACCTTCTTATAGGGATAGCATTCCTTCGTACATTATTTACATTAAAAACAATTAATAGAATATCAGTTGAAAGAATTCTTTTGGCTTTAATTTGTTTAGAATCTGTTAGTCCTTCTAGGGGAAATCCAATAGAAATATATTAAAGTTAAATGTGCCATATGTAATAAGAACAAAAAGACTTGTAATGTAAGCATCCACAATTTGTGTTTATATTATGTTAAGCTGTTATGTGTGTGTTAGTTTATACTAGACAAATTTTCCCAAGATACCATACATCGTTATAGTTTAATTTTGCCGTAAATAGCTAGTACAAAATAACATTACCATTATAAGCTTTTAAAACGGATCGGTAAAATTATACAAAGCTATAAATTCCGTAACAATATCTGTAGTTCAATATAAATATGCCCATTGTTAAGCAGCTGTGTATAATTTTACCATTATGAAAAACTGTACTATTCCAGGCTAAATTCTTCACACCTCGACTTGCATAACTATGTATGTATAAAAATTATACACTGAGACAGTTATTTCCGTTAACCGTTTTTTACAGTGTGAATTAGTACTAAGCATCAGTCATTAGTCATAAATGCTCTGTATATACTATACAGATAATGATAATATATTTTCATGTTTTTATTAAATTTAGTAGCATGTTTTATACGATGTAATATATTTTACTTGTTAATGTTTTCATTTCTGAAAAATATGCTATCAAGCTTCTACTATTGTTGTTGAATATATTGAATATTCGTAAATAGTTTAACTACAGTCGGAAATGATTGTCATCATCTGTATCTGAATAATTATAGTGTTATTTTATGTATATATTACATAAATATAACGAAAATTTAAATTACTCGTTGTTTCTTTAACCACTATTTACCTAATATACATTTACCTAAACAGGAATGAAAGCAACTTAGCCATTATAAAGATAACATTTATTCATATTGAAACATGCCATATTTGCAATAGGTAAATTTATATGCGTTGTTTTTTTATGCATTATTAATCTCCAGAACAAAACTTTAATGATTATTATTGCGATAGTTCAGCTCAAATTTCAGAAAGTATCGAAAAATAAAAATATACTGTTGAGAACTTAGGAAAACGTCACCTTTTCAGACTTCTAAACTATAAAAAGCTTATTATTATAATTAATAGTTTACGATCATTCCACAATGCCTAAAAAAATCAATTAAATTTAATAGAACATACTAGCAACAGCTTGCGGTAGTCAGTATTCATAAAGAAATCCTAATAATTAATACCAATTAATACTAAACTTTTTTTTTCTAACCACAATTTCTCTTGACGGATGATAATCAAAGGTCAAAATGACATTACTCCCAAATTTTAAAGTATAATTAGTGGTTTCAAGTTTCAATTACACTTTATACATTTATTTGACGATCATTCGCAATGTCTAAACAAAAATTAACTTAATAGAATATCCTAGCAACAGCTTGCGGTAATCAGTTGTATCCATAGAGAAAGCCTAATATTTAGCTTATAATACAATAAACTGATTTTGATTTCTAACCACAATTTCTCTTGACGGATGATAATCAAAAGCCAAAATTACATTCCTCGCAAATTTTGAAGTATAATTAGTGGCTAAGTTAAAGCTTCATTCAGAACCTCGCAATTAGTGGTATAAATTAGTGGTTTCAATTACACTTTATACTTTTTAGTTTACGATCAATAACAATGTTTAAAAAACAATTAAAATTAATAGAATATCCTAGCAACAGCTTGCGTTAGTCAGGTGTATCCATAGAGGTTGTATCCGTAGAGAAAGCCTAATAGTTAGCTTATAAAACAATCAACTTTTGATTTCTAACCACAATTTCTCTTAACGAAATATAATCAAAGGCCAAAATGATATTTCTGGCAAATTTTGAAATATAATTAGTGGAAAAGTTAAAAGTTTGATAATTTTTTCTACTAATTGAAAATGTCTACCACTAATTTTGACGTTCTGAATGCTTACATTGAAATTAAAGGTACAAACTTCTACGCTAACTGAAACCACTAATTTATTTCACTAAATGCGAGGTTCTGAATGAAGCTTAAAAGTTTGTTAACTTTTTCCACTAATTGAAGATTACTACCATAAATTTTGACGTTGTGAATGCTGACACTGAAATTAAAGGAACAAACTTGTACGTTAATTGAAACCACTAATTTATTCCACTAATTTCGAGGTTCTGAATGAAGTTTAAGGGTTAACATTTTCTACCAATTGAAAATTACTACCACTAATTTTGACGTTCTAAATGCTTACATTGAAATTAGAGGAACAAACTTCTACGCTAATTAAAACCACTAATTTATTCTACTAATAGTATAGTACCGCCAAAAATTAAAAAATACCTGTACCTGAAGTGCCTAATCCGCAGTGTTTCTGAATTTAGAGCAAATAATTTACTCTCTGTAATTGATAAAATAATTGAAACTTCAGTGTGTAATCAGTTGCGAAATTACTTTGAGCGTAACCGGTCATTTCTGTGAGCGCCGGTCATTCCTGTGAGTCAGCTCTTCAATATGTGTGCGCAACATGGAGAAATCATATAAAGATTAAGATTGAGTTAATTATATTTGTCGACTTACAGGGCGAGCGTTTGAGACGATTAATCGTGGTGTG